ATACATATACTTTATTATTTAACCTCTCGTCATAATCCTTTACCAACTTCCTCCTATACTGTTGCTTCTTACTTATGTTTACTGTAGATTTGTTTAAACCACACATTGATTCAGTTCAATGATTTCAGATCTGTCATTGTAATGACTTAAGCGTCAGCTAGACGGCTAGAGAGATAAGAGAGTTGTTGTCATTTTGGGAAGGGAGAACAGGGAATTGGAAATTCTGCCCATGCTCATGTTTATCCCCCCTCTACTTTCTTTCTCACCTCTTTCACGTGATGTGAATGTTTGAACCCAGACCATACTCTTCGGGTTTGTAAGTTCAAGTCCATTTACCAACATTTTTTATATATAGCCCATCACATTATCATAGATTCTGCCATATAAACAGTATAAAAAAAACCATAAAATATTTAAAGCACCATTTTTTGCCACAAGATGCCACTGTTTTCGACACTCTTGATGCTTCGAATCTTTTCCCGAAACAATCAGAGAAAGGTTCAAAGATTTGGAAAAAGCTTCAAAGATTTGGAAAAAGCTTCAAAGATTTGGAAAAATCTTAATTTTTCCATCCCTATACTCAATATTGTATGCCTTTTTGCAAATGTTTCAATCAAGTTTAGCTGTTTTAGAAATTGTTTACTCATTTTGAGCCTGGGTTTTAACGTTAACTATCTGTAATGTCATTGTCCGTGTGTGGAAAAAGCGCCAATTAAACAAAACTAAAGTAGCCAATCAGATTTCTTTTCACCCATCCCCCACCACTGCACACACATACAGGTCCTTCTAAAAAAATTAGCATATTGTGATAAAGTTAATTATTTTCCATAATGTAATGATAAAAAATAAACTTTTATATATTTTAGATTCATTGCACACCAACTGAAATATTTTAGGTCTTTTATTGTTTTAATACTGATGATTTTGGCATACAGCTCATGAAAACCCAAAATTCCTGTCTCAAAAAATTAGCATATCATGAAAAGGGTCTCTAAACGAGCTATTAACCTAATCATCTGAATCAACTAATTAACTCTAAACACCTGCAAAAGATTCCTGAGGCTTTTAAAAACTCCCAGCCTGTTTCATTACTCAAAACCGCAATCATGGGTAAGACTGCCGACCTGTTTGCTGTCCAGAAGGCCATCATTGACACCCTCAAGCAAGAGGGTAAGACAGAAAGAAATTTCTGAACAAATAGGCTGTTCCCAGAGTGCTGTATCAAGGCACCTCAGTGGGAAGTCTGTGGGAAGGAAAAAGTGTGGCAAAAAACACTGCACAACGAGAAGAGGTGACCGGACCCTGAGGAAGATTGTGGAGAAGGACCGATTCCAGACCTTGGGGGACCTGCGGAAGCAGTGGACTGAGTCTGGAGTAGAAACATCCAGAGCCACCGTGCACAGGCGTGTGCAGGAAATTGCTACAGGTGCCGCATTCCCCAGGTCAAGCCACTTTTGAACCAGAAACAGCGGCAGAAGCGCCTGACCTGGGCTACAGAGAAGCAGCACTGGACTGTTGCTCAGTTTTGCATGTCATTCGGAAATCAAGGTGCCAGAGTCTGGAGGAAGACTGGGGAGAAGGAAATGCCAAAATGCCTGAAGTCCAGTGTCAAATACCCACAGTCAGTGATGGTCTGGGGTGCCATGTCAGCTGCTGGTGTTGGTGCACTGTGTTTTATCAAGGGCAGGGTCAATGCAGCTAGGTATCAGGAGATTTTGGAGCACTTCATGCTTCCATCTGCAGAAAAGCTTTATGGAGATGAAGATTTCATTTTTCAGCACGACCTGGCACCTGCTCACAGTGCCAAAACCACTGGTAAATGGTTTACTGACCATGGTATTACTGTGCTCAATTGGCCTGCCAACTCTCCTTACCTGAACCCCATAGAGAATCTGTGGGATATTGTGAAGAGAAAGTTGAGAGACGCAAGACCCAACACTCTGGATGAGCTTAAGGCCGCTATCGAAGCATCCTGGGCCTCCATAACACCTCAGCAGTGCCACAGGCTGATTGCCTCCATGCCACGCCGCATTGAAGCAGTCATTTCTGCAAAAGGATTCCCGACCAAGTATTGACTATTGAGTGCATAACTGAACATAATTATTTGAAGGTTGACTTTTTATTTTATTTTATTAAAAACACTTCTTTTATTGGTCGGATGAAATATGCTAATTTTTTGAGACAGGAATTTTGGGTTTTCATGAGCTGTATGCCAAAATCATCAGTATTAAAACAATAAAAGACCTGAAATATTTCAGTTGGTGTGCAATGAATCTAAAATATATGAAAGTTAAATTTTTATCACATTATGTAAAATAATGAACTTTATCACAATATGCTAATTTTTTGAGAAGGACCTGTACACACATCTGACTTTACAACACACAAACACACACCTTTATTTATTCTCATTCTCTCTTGCTTTCTCAATAGCTGGGTTTCAGTCACGTGATTATGATGACGCGCAGAATTCAGATGGAGGGCAGGGAGTGAAGAGCGCAATGGACGAGATGGAGGAAAGTCCGTACTGTACTACTTTACACGCTATTACAAGGGAAAGATATAAAAAAAAAATCAAACATATGTTGGACGTGATCCTTGCGTTATGAAGAGTAGCGATTTTTCAACTGAATTGAAAGATTTTCCTGCCATCGGGGCGGTAGATATCAGCAACTACCTCGTCTTACAGACATACTTTGACTTTACAAAGTTTGTAAATGTTACACGTTACACAAACATAGCCATATAAGTTGTATTAACTCAACTTTGATGAAGTTATCACTGCACACACGGGCATTTTCCCATTCGGCTCCTCCCGACCGCAGACGTAGGTTTCTTGCATTTTCCCCCCTTATGAACAACAACTTTTGGTACACGATAAAAACTCCTCGTGGTTTGATCGATTTAAGCAACCATAAAAGACGCAAAACATAGGCATTTTGAGTTTGTTATAGCGCTTTCTAAATACAGCAAATCACTTCCTGCCCTCCATTTGCATTTCGCGACATGGCAACGCAGTGGCGTGACGTCATATGAAAACAAGCTATATGTCATGAGTGTACACAGATAGATTAATAATCAATTTTAAAAATATGTAAATAATAGAAACGGCATTACTTAGCGCCTTCTCATGGTACGCACAGTGCGTACAGCTGCAAGCGCCACTGATGTCCATGATGTTGAATATTTAGTCTAAACATTCAAATGTAAGTCAGGAAGGTTTTAGAAAAACACTGAAATACATAGAAATGATAAATCACAGAATTGTAACTGCAAAAAAAAGTTTTTCTTCATCTTCTCCCAATCATATTTTGTCTTGATCTTCTCCTAATCAGCATTTTTGTGCTTTCTAATGAATAAACAAGATAACATTTCTTGAGAAGATAAATTGCTAATAAAACCAATAACGTAATAATAAAACATAACTTTTCAGAGAATGTTTTTCAAATTACATGTATTTTTCTTACCCCTTTGGCAACTATTTTATTTCAGTATAAATCAAAAAGATGAAAAGATTTGATTAAAAAACAAAAAGAAAATACTGATTAAGAACATGATTTTTTTGCAAAGTGATTGACTAAGAATAAAAAAATAGAATAAATCACCTGTCATAATGTGCAACCTTCACTTTTGCTAAACCTGTTTTATTTCCAATATTCTGCATCTGATTGACTTTTCTATCAACAATGATTCACTGAACAAAAAATTGTGGTCCAAAACATATTTGTAGCACTTATTTTCCAGATCACATCTGGAAAAGATCGTTCACCTTTAAATGTGAATATAAATAGTTAAATCATTGTAATTATTTTGCTGAATTAGCCATATAGGCAACTGGAGCACTCAAAAAGATTGGCTCTGCCTTTGCTTGTTTAATAAAAAACGACGTCAGAAGTATGATGCTTGGTTTATTCTCGCATGGAACGGGTCCAAGAAACAGTAGGTGGTTCAGCTAATAGGCTCGACCCTTTAGAATGATCCAAAGGGCATTAAGAAACCAGACCTCTTCAAACCAACGGGTCAATGATATGAGGTGCAAAGGCTTAAGCAGCTATGAAAGCAAAAGAGAAAAATTACATGTGACATATTCCAAAGTAAAAATAAGTTCACATCACACATCACACATCAAAGCCCCTCTATGGCGATTCAACACAGCTGGGAGTAGAATGAAAAAGAGGGTAGTCGTTTCATGCGCCATAACCAGTTCGAACAATTATAATCTCTAATCATTGTGACATAAAGTGATTTTTTAACGACTGTTGTTTTTAAAACTGCTAATAAAAGTCAAGAGGCAAATTTAAAAACACGTACCGTGTATCACATCGTACCGCAGAAAATTTTATGTTTGTTCTCTTTCAAATTCCAGTTGATTATACTTCTGATGGCCTGTACCATATAACTAAAGGTGTCGTTGAAAAACGTTAAGTAAAATTTTAAATTGTCTGTCCCTTTTAAATCTCGATTTGACAGTCTCAATCTTTCAAAGAAAAAGTGAATAACTTAGATTTTTTAATAACTTTAAATAATAATCAATGTTTCAAAAATAATTTAATTCTGCTGTAAAGCAGCTCTAAAAAAGATAGTCTCATTATTCATCAGAAGTCAGTTCAGTGTTGCCAATGTAGAGTTCAATAACTGTGCATCAATTATCAATCATAAGAGGAGTTTTTGAGCTGCCCTGCAGAAAATGGTTGTGACATCATCTTGCTCAATTGAGATAATGTTTGGCTCTCATTCAATAACGCCAGTGCAATCAAATAAAAAATATTACTGAATATTAAGAGCCCCCATAAGTAAGGCATAGTTGCAAGGAACCTTACATCAGGAGAAAAAAAAACAAAAAACAAAAAAACCTTGGGAGAAGCCAGACTCAGTTGGGGCCCGGTTCTCCTTTGGCCAATGTCTTTCATGCTGTTCATTCATGTTTATGACACTTCTCTTAAAAATAACTTATTTTCTATGCTACGTGGTTTGACTGTGTGTCAATATCTCTGTTACAGGGCTTATCTGAGCATAAAGGAACTGAAGGAGCTGCTTCATCTGAGCAGTTCAGACATGCTCAACGTGTTCTTTGCTAATAATTCAGCACGCGAGGAGCTTGCTGGAGTCGCCACCTGGCCATGGGCAAAAGAAGCCCTTACTCATCAAGGTAAGATGTCCACTCAAATTTAATGCAAGAGCTCATGAACATTAGCCTGGTTAAAACCAGACCATTCTCAGTTGTAACTGAGTTATGGTCTGGCAAAGCGTCATAGACAAATCATTTCCAGAGGGGCGTCACCAACGGACGTCGCGGATAGACCTAAAACCAATCAGAGCGATGAAGGAGATGACGTAGAGCGGCGGAGAAACATCTCCGAGTGTTGTTCTTTGCTCGGTTTTTAACAAAAAGGAAACGTTCAAATCGCTAAAAACAGACGCGATAGCTAATTCGAACGAGTGATGTTCGACGGCGGCATCCATCTTTGTAATGTAGGCTACAAAATCTGCTTCAAAATCCCAGCGCTGTCGTCATCGTGTAAAGCCCGCCCCAACGTTTCTAAATGGTGCCTCGATTTCGACGGATTGGAAATGGGCGTGAATGAGCTCTTTGCCAGACTAACTTTCTGAGCAAATCTAAATTTGCCGGAAGTTGTCTGGGTTTTCCCAGGCTACATGAACATGACAAAATCCAGTTTTATTCGAAATAAGGTGTAATTTTTTTTTCTTTAAAGCCCGAAACCCAAATAATGATGTGAACATGAAGATTTAATGATGAAAACATGACTTAACTATAAGCATAGACATGATTCAGCTAGACTAGAATAAACTAGAATAAACCATTCTAGGTGTAGTCGATTGTACATCTAGACCAGGGGTTCTCAACTCTGGCCCTCGAGGTCCACTTTCCTGCACAACCCGAATCCAACACACCTGAACAAGCTAATCAAGGTCTTCAGGATTACTAGAATGTTACAGGCCGGTGAGTTTTAACCAAGGTTGGAGCCAAACTCTACAGGAAAAAGTTGAGAATCCCTGATCTAGATTAGACTAGACTAAAAAATGCCAAACCAACCGCATGACATGAAGACTATGAAAACACAATTATAAACATAACGTGATTTGACTAGACTATAGACTGAAATACTGGACTTGAGTCCAGAAATCGCCTAAGGTTGGCTGGTTAGCATTGCTCAGTTAGCCCCTGCCGGTAGATACACCATCTGGTTTTAAAAAGCATATTTTTCTATTGATGGCCTTTTTAAAAGGCAGAAAAACTTTTTTTTGCAAATAACTCATAAATCACCAATATTTCACCACATAATAGCTGATGTTTTATTTCTTGTTGTTTTAAATGCTCTGAAAAGCGTGAAATGGATTTATATTTTCCCCCACATTTGGCGTCATAGCTCAGTAGTCGCCAGTGAAGAGGTTGGTACTATGCATATTTTTAGATATAACATGAGAACAAAACTTTAAAATAAAAGACAAACTAATATTTCAAAATAAAAGACCAGGGACTTAACAGAACAGATCTACCTCTTGGCCTCCATACCCAACTGGGTTCATTCTACCATGGACAATGTCAAGTTAAGATCTCAGATGTTTCCTATCGCTACATTCCCCAAAGCACATGTGTTTTTTTTGGACCTAATGCCATACATCTTCTTGTTCATGACTTTCTTTTTTTCGATCGCCTTACATCTTTTCTTTAAAGAAACACATTCTTGTCTCTTCCTCCTTGTTGTCTGTATTTGCTTTTACGAGATTAATGGGCCGTAAACTCAAGCATAAAAGAAAACACTTGCAGCACGCATAGATTTCCCTGTAGATTGCCCATTAATCATTAAGGCTGTCCACCGGGAGAGAAGAAAAGGAACTCGACAACAACCAAACAAAAACAAAAGAAGGGTATTGCCCTGTTGCCATCTCCATCCAACTGCCAGCTGATTTTATAGTACCCGTCGTTGTTGTGTTTTAGAGCTCATTAAAATGGTCTCGGTGAAGTCCAGCTCCTTTAAAAAAAGGAGATTTCTCTCAAGCAGGAAGGTTTCTTATATAAGTCCCCCTCCCATTGGTTCAGGATCCACGAGCAGACATTTTGGTCTTGGCTTTTTGGGTTAGAGCTTTTGTTAATGAGATGATTTTGGCCTATGTGTAGAATGTGAACTTTTAAACCGACATTAGCATGAGTAATTAGCACCAACCTGTTTTTATGAGCTTGAATTTGGCTACAGTTTGTTTCTAAAGTATATATGATAACACTTTACATTAGTGTTTAATTTGTAAACATTTATTTAATTTATTAGTTATCAAACAAACATTTTCACAGCATTTATTAATTCAGAGTAATGCTCCTTTGTTAATATATTATTGTTCATTTTTAAATATTTTTCATTCATATTTCATTAAGTGATTTTAATTCATAGAACTTGTAAATGTAAAAATAAAAATGTATAAGAACATGTAAAAATGACAATTAACCAAGATTAATAAATGCTGTAAAAGTATTGTTTGTCGGTATTTCATGTTGCATTAACTATAAGTTATATAACCTTTTAGTAAAGTGTGTAAGGATTGCTCAGAGTCAAGTTATATAACCTTATAGTAAAGTGTGTAAGGATTGCTCAGAGCCGGTAAAATCCATTTGCAGCTTTTATTTGATATAGGTAGACAATAGTAGAAGGGCTAGGCAAAGAGTACTCAGAGACACAGGCGTTTAAGTCCAGGCCAGGCAGAGATTCGTCGAAGCACGGTAAACAGGCCAGGGTCAAGGAAGCCAGAGAATAATCGAAAGCCAGGAAACAGTCCAAGGTCTAGGTAGCCAGAGAATGATCATAGATAACAGCAAACAGTCCGAGATCTGAACCAGTAGGAGAAAACACAAGGATAAACGCTCAGTAGGTAAGCCAGGGCTAAACAATACTTCGCACTGAATGAGGGTTGAGAGCTGGTTAAATACACAAGCAAATGGGATACAGGTGTGAGAGCCATGAGTGGAAACAGGTGTGTGTGATGTCCAGATGAACTGCATGATGGGAGATGTAGTGTTAATACTCAGGAGACGGCTCTCTACGTGGGTTTGAAGGAGGTGATACAGGAAACTCCTGCGTTACAGAGCCCCCTCCCTGCGAGCGACTCCCGGCGCGAGAAGGTAACCGGCGACGTGGTCTTCCACGAGGTCGAGGAGCAGGTTTGCTGGGATGTGCTTGGTGGAATTCCTCGATAAGTGTGGGATCTAGGATGTCCTTAGCTCTGATCCAACACTGTTCCTCTGGACCGAACCCCTCCCAGTCGACTAGGTACTGAAGGACGTTACCTCTGCGCCTGGAATCCAGCAGTTCTCTTACCCGATACGCTTCCTCGCCGTCTACCAGGATTGGAGGAGTGGTTTGTGTTGTGAGTTCCTCTATTGTCCCTCTCTCGGGACTGACAGCAGGTTTCAGCAGGGAAACATGGAATGTCGGAGCTATACGATAGTTAGTGGGAAGTTTTAGACGAAACGACACTGGAGTAACTTGTTTTAGGATCTGGAATGGACCGACATATCTGGGGCTGAGCTTGCGGCAGGGAAGCCGTAGTTTGAGATCCTTTGTGGACAGCCAGACCCATTGACCTGGGCGGTAATGGGGGGCTGGTCTACGATGTCGGTTGGCGTGGCGCTCCTGGCGCCTAACCGCATGTACCAGATGGGTATGCGCTTGATCCCAGACCTCCTCACTCCTTTAAAGCCATTCGGTAACGGAAGGGAGCTCTGTGGGTTCCCCGGACCAAGGGAACAGCGGGGGTTGGAAGCCAAGAATGCACCGAAACGGAGTTAAACCAGTGGCGGGCTTAACCAGGGAGTTCTGCGCATACTCTGCCCAGAACAGATATTGGCTCCACTCTGCTTGTTGTCGCTGGCAGTATGTGCGCAAGAACCGAATGATGTCCTGGTTCAGACGTTCTGTCTGCCCGTTGGATTGGGGATGATATCCGGAGGACAAGCTGATGTTTACATTGAGGTGTTTGAAAAAAGCTCCCCAAACTCTAGAGGTGAACTGTGGCCCTCGGTCTGACACGATGTCGTCCGGCAGACCGTAGAAGCGAAACACCTGATTACACAGGATTTCGGCAGTGGCGAGTGCTGTGGGCAGTTTGGGTAGTGCCACCAGTCTGCATGCCTTGGAGAAGCGATCGACTATGGTCAGTATGGTGGTGGTACCCTGGGATTCCGGGAGGTCGGTGATGAAATCTATAGCGATGTGCGACCAAGGTCGTTGGGGAATGGGCAATGGAGTGAGAAGTCCAGCGGGGAGTTGACGAGGTGTCTTGGAAGTGTTACAGCTGGTACAGCTTTGGATGTGGTTGGTGGTGTCTGTGAGTAAAGAGGACCACCAGAACCGGTTGCGGAGCAGGTGAACGGTGGCGGTGATACCAGGATGAACCTGATCTATGAGGCGAGTACGTAGGGAAATAGGCACATATAGGCGATCAGGAGGGCAATTCATAGGTGGAGGTTCCTGCTGATTGAACAGTTCGATCTCCGTGGTGATGTCCCATTGTACTGGGGCGATGAGCAAACTCTCAGGAAGGATATTCTCGGTACCCGTTGTTTCGGTTGTCTCCTCAGTTTGACGAGAGAGAGCGTCGGCCTTAGTATTCTTGGAACCTGGTCGGTATGTGATGGTGAACTGGAACCTGGTAAAGAACAGGGCCCACCGAGCCTGACGAGGATTCAAGCGTTTGGCCGAACAGAGGAATTCGAGGTTTCTATGGTCAGTGAGGATGATGAATGGTTCCTGCGCTCCTTCCAACCAGTGCCGCCACTCCTCTAGAGCCAATTTCATGGCCAATAACTCACAGTTGCCCACATCGTAGTTGCACTCCGCGGGAGTGAGCTTACGGGAGAAAAAGGCCCAAGGATACATTTTCTCAGGCATGCCCTGACGCTGGGAGAGAACTGCTCCTACTCCAGTGTTGGAAGCATCCACTTCGACGATGAACTGGCGCATGGGGTCGGGGTGCCGCAGAATGGGAGCAGAAGTGAAGTGAGCTCGGAGATCATCAAAGGCTTTGGAGGACTCGGGTGACCAGCTCAGACGATGGTTGTAGCGTTTTGTCATGGCAGTCAGAGGAGCGGCAACTGTACTGTAATTCCTGATAAACCGACGATAGAAGTTTGCAAATCCCAGGAACCGTTGTAACTGCTTGATGGTCTGGGGAACTGGCCAACTCAGGACTGCCTGAACCTTCTTTTCGTCCATCGCCACACCCTCTGAACTGATTACGTAACCCAGGAAAGACGTACTCGTGCGGTGGAATTCACATTTCTCGAATTTGGCAAAGAGCTGGTAGTGGAGAAGTCGTTGGAGAACTGATCTGACGTGCTTCACGTGCTCCTCCATGGTTGAGGAGTAGATTAAAATGTCGTCGATGTAGACGATCACCCATTTCTCCAGCATATCACGAAAGACGTCGTTCATGAACGCTTGGAAGACCGAAGGACTGTTGGACAGACCGAACGGCATGACGAGGTACTCATAGTGCCCACTAGTGGTGGAGATGGCAGTCTTCCACTCGTCTCCTTTGCGAATTCAAACCAGGTTGTAGGCATTACGGAGATCCAACTTGGTATAATACTTGGCCTGGCGAAGCTGTTCGAGAGCGGCTGGTACCAACGGCAGTGGATACCTGAACTTGACTGTAACTTCATTCAACCCACGGTAGTCGATACAAGGACGCAGAGTGCCATCCTTCTTAACGAAGAAGAAACCGGCTGCGGCGGGCGAGGTCGAAGGCTGAAGGAACCCCTTGGCTAATTCCTCCTCGATGTACTTCCTCATGGCTTCGGACTCAGGCTGTGACAGGGGAAAGACTCTGCCCTTAGGTGGTGTGGCGCCGGGTAACAGCTCGATGGCGCAATCACTTGAACGGTGCTCAGGAAGTTGTGCAGCCCGGTGTTTGCTGAAGACGTCAGCCAGATCGGAGTATTCGGCGGGCAGGTTAGGATCACTGAACCCGGGCGTGGAAGCCTGGAGGGAGTGGTTTGGAGTACGCTTGACCTTGGACAGGCATGTTCTGTGACAAGAGAGGTCCCATTGGACGATCTGGTTCTCGCGCCAGGAGATTTGGGGATTGTGTGTACGTAGCCATGTAAGGCCCAGGACTATGTGGTGCTTGGAGCCCCGGATAACATAAAACCTGATAGACTCAGAGTGAAGTGTTCCCATGTGTAAGGTTACCTCTTCGGTGAGTCTGAGGATCCTCCCCTCTCCTAAGGGCCGACCGTCTAGCGCCTCCACTGTTAATGGAAAATCACAGGGATTAGTTTGAAGTTTGTGCTGAACTATGAACTTGTGAGACATGAAATTTCCTGCAGCTCCTGAATATAGCAATGCTGTAGTGTCAATCTTCCTGCCATGGAGAGAGAGACGAACAGGTAGAATGAAACCGGGCCACTGGTTGTCTGAAACACCCGTTGCACTCACCGGTTGAACCTGGGAAGGTGGGCGAACTGGACAGGTGAGTCTTCGATGACCAGACTGACCGCAGTAGAGGCAACGGTGCTGCTGCATGCGTCGCTCACGTTCCTCGGGAGTAAGACTAGTGAAACCCAGCTGCATGGGCTCTGATCCAAGCATGTCGTCAGAACGTGCACGATAGGAGGCTTGAGGAGTACGACGAGAGCGAATCAGGTTGTCGATCTCGATAGCCATGTTGATATATTCGTTTAACGACCTCCCCTCGTCGCGGCACGCCAATTCAGATTGTAGTTCGTTGGTAAGGCCCTTTCTGAACAAAGTCTTTAGAGTGTCCTCAACCCAATTGGTCTGTGCAGCAAGGGTACGAAACGTGAGGGTATAATCAGCGGTGGTTCTTCTCCCCTGTGTGTGACTGAGAAGGCGTTCCCCAGCATCACCCTGTTCTGCGGGGTGTTCAAAAATGCAGCGGAATTCATGGGTGAATGACGCGAACGTGGTAAAGGGGAATCCCTCCGGCCTCCAGATGGCGGTCACCCATTCCAGCGCCTTCCCGGTGAGAAGTGAACACACGAAGGCTATTTTCCCGGCATCTGTGGGATGTAATGTGGGCTGTTGGTCAAAGTAGAGGCGGCATTGGAGTAGGAAACCCTTGCATCTCGCTGACGCACCGTCGAACTTCTCTGGAAGAGCGAGACGAGGATTGACAGTCGCACTCGCAGTCGACGGGGAAGCCCCAGAGGGCTGATCGGTGGTGGCGTTGGCCGCTGATACTTGCAGTCCTCGGATGGCGTTCACGAGCTCATCAGTGAGCGTTGTAAGGTGATCCAACTGATGTTTGTACTGTACTAGTGCAGCAGCCTGTGCAGTTACGTCGGTGGTCAACTGTGAGACCGCTGCTGGACCTGGGTTTGGCGAAGTATTCTGTAAGGATTGCTCAGAGTCGGTAAGATCCATTTGCAGCTTTTATTTGATATAGGCAGACAATAGTAGAAGGGCTAGGCAAAGAGTACTCAGAGACACAGGCGTTGAAGTCCAGGCCAGGCAGAGATTCGTCGAAGCACGGTAAACAGGCCAGGGTCAAGGAAGCCAGAGAATAATCGAAAGCCAGGAAACAGTCCAAGGTCTAGGTAGCCAGAGAATGATCGTAGATAACAGCAAACAGTCCGAGATCTGAACCAGTAGGAGAAAACACAAGGATAAACGCTCAGTAGGTAAGCCAGGGCTAAACAATACTTGCACTGAATGAGGGTTGAGTGCTGGTTAAATACACAAGCAAATGGGATACAGGTGTGAGAGCCATGAGTGGAAACATTGTGTGTGATGTCCAGATGAACTGCATGATGGGAGATGTAGTGTTAATACTCAGGAGATGGCTCTCTACGTGGGTTTGAAGGAGGTGATACAGGAAACTCCTGCGTTACAAAGTGTATGACAGGTGATTTTATATTTCGCATATTAATACAATTAATTTGATTTTATATTTGATTTATTTATTTTATATACCTTGAATATTTATTTTAATCCCTCAAATGTTATATTGGTATTCTATACTTATTCCATGATTATCTTGATTACTTGACTGGATACTTATTTGTCAAAAACTTGTGACTGCTAAATTGTATAATTGGACTATTATTTCTTATTTGGTATACAGCCACGTAATAAACAGAATAGTCCAGACAGCCTGTTGTAATTACAAAATAAACCTCTTCAGGAAGGGGTCGTTGGGGTCCTGATCACCCTGTCATGCTTTAAACAGAGCCAAGAAGAATTGTATCCCAATAACCATGGCGAGTCAAGTTAAGAAGGAAAAATGGAATTATGAAATGTTCATAAAAACGATTGACCAGAGTGTTGAGTTTTACAATTAAAAAGCTAGTTTTGTTTTTTATTCATCTTGGATGAATAAAACAGATTCCAGAGGTGGTCTGAGACATGAAAGGTAAGATTCATGAATGACTGACCACGCTGCTTTTAATCACTCAGAGATATGGCTCCATTCTTATTATTCCCATAATCCACCTCTGCTTTTGATTTACTGTCTTTGGTGAAAGTCAATCTTTGTCCACAAATGTTTCGGTGGACTTGCATGGAGGTTAAATGCGAGATTAGTTTCTCATAAATTAGGGGGCTCGGGTTTATGGTATGGGTTTGGGCAGCAGCCTGCCATGGTTTAATTCCACATAAATCATGAGCTTATTTGCGAGAGTACCTTGATGTCTATTGAGGAACAAGGTCAAACTACTGCTCTGAATGCTTTAAGTGAAATCAGACCATAGCATGAACTGCTGATCTTGTGGTATAACTGTAAATGATCTGTGTCTGTCAGACGTGTCTAGCCAAGCTCTGAACGTTTGGCTGAACTCCCATAAAACATGGATATTTCCTAAATAAAAAGGTCGTTCTTTTTTGTTTTAAGATATATATTACATTATTTGGATATAAAAACAGACGCCAATGTGTTACCATTCAGCAGGTGTGGGATCTTAAATACATTGTAATGTTCTTAAAGTGGTTAGAGCATCATACTGTTCTTTCTGGTAATCCTAGCTGCGGTGGTCCTGTAAACAGGTTAGATTACATAATGTTTTATGCAGCAGTATTTCAGAACAAATCAGTTTGATATACTCACAGACTTCTGGCTTTGAGATTAAAGTTAAACTTTAGAATTTACACATCAGTGTTCTTTCAGGTTAAAGTTTATATTGTTTCATCAACTGCAGAGATGTCCATTTGTGTCATTTTTCAGGTGGAATGATTCTCAACCCCTCATACTTTGGCACCAAAGGACACAACAACACCATGATCCATGAGATGGGTCATATTTTGGGACTGTACCATGTGTTTAAGGGTGTGAGTGAACGCGAGTCATGTGATGACCCCTGTCAAGAGACCACCGCATCCATGGAGACTGGAGATCTGTGTGCCGATACAGCACCAACGCCAAAATCGAAAGCTTGTCACGACCCTGATCCAGTCAATGACACTTGTGGCCTTACCCAGTACAAAGACACACCGTACAACAACTACATGAGTTACACAGGTAGTCACAATCAGTTTTCTGCTTCTGTTTGCCCAACAAGAAGAACCAGTTTCACTTTAAAGATATTGATGGTAGTGTCTAACTTAAGTTATACATGCAAGTAGTGTATATACACGTTCAAAAGTTTGCTTTCAGTACGATAAAAAAAGAACTTCCAACAGGGCTGCATTTATTTGATAAAAAATACAGTCAAAAACAATAATATTGTGAAATGTTATTATAATTTAATATAATTTTTTCTATTTAATTATAATTTGTAATGTAAATTATTCTGGTGATGGCAAAAGCTGAATTTTCAGCATCATTACTCTAGTCTTCAGTGTCACATTATTCTTCAGAAATAATTCTAATATGCTGATTTGCTGCTCAAGAAACATTTATTAGTAGTATCAGTTGAAAATGGTTGTGCTGATTAATAAAATGTTTTTTTTTTCAGGATTCTTTGATTACCGGTAATAGAAAGTTTGGAGACAAGTGAAATAGAAGTAAAAAATCGTTTTAACACTATAAATGTCTTTCCTGTAACTTTTAAACAATTGAATGCATCTTTGCTGAATAAAAGGAGCAATTTCTTAAAAAAAAGTGATCACACTTATTTGAACAGCAGTGTATTCATGAGGACCTCAGTATTAATAACATAATTTGATTTTATTAAATTAGGATTAAATTAATGTGAATAAAACAATGGAAATTTTCAAATGTGAAAGATTTCAAATTTTTTTTTTTTTTTTTTTTTTTTTTTTTTTTTTACAGATGATGACTGTACAAACCATTTTACACCCAATCAAGTAGCTCGGATGCACTGCTATATTGATTTGGTCTACAAAGCCTGGGTCCAAGGGAGAAAGCCCACCCCTGTTCCTCTTGCACCAGTGGTTATTGGTCAAAAATCAGATTCCATCTCAATTCATTGGCCGTATCCAATCAGTGGGCCACTTGCCCACAGGTAAAGTAAGGCGTGTACATATAGCAAACAACGAGGAAATAAACATTTCTCAATACAAATGTTTATGCATTAATGTTACATTATTTTTTGGATTCTCAAAGCTTTTTTGTTTACTAACAGCCAGCAATGCAGTTTAACAAGATGTTAAATATGCTGCAATTCCGCAGCTACATATTCAACTTAAACTTTCATTCTATTAAGTCAAAACACATGGAAATAGATGGATTTACACTTGCTTTTGTAATGTTTTGTTTGTGATTGCATTGCTATCCAAATGTGTTTTGGAGGCCTTTTAAACTTTTTTTTCCCCACCATCAGACAGCTCTCACTATCAATAAAAGTGCACAAAGTGATCCAGTATATATGACACTACAAAGCAGGGCAAAATAAATATTTTGAGCACCCCATTTTTTTTTATATATATATATCACTGACTTTATATTTCATCCACTGTTTAAAAGCTATTCTCTGTGGCTGTGTAGGGAGGGTGGCATAAACTGCCATCTCTGTGATGAGAACGGAGCGCTCCATCAGTACGCCCATGAGGCCACTTCTCCTCACGCCTGTGATTCCACTGGATACTGGACACCAGAGGAAGCAGTGGGTTAGTACTCTGTCATTCCTTATTACAATACTAGATACTTTAGTGCTTTAGTGCTTGTGCAAAATACTAGCATGCTGAATGATACAAACAAAAGAAAAAAAGTCCCATCGCTGTTGGACTGTATATCAGCCCCCTTGAAATGCTGTTCAGGCAATCAAATTAGAAGACTGGAACTAACTGCTGTATTATAGCATCATATCAGGATCCTACAAAGTTCTTCCACAAGCATATGTCATGAATTGTAAGATGGTGAGCGCATGACTGAATGCTGTCTCTGACATAAATGCTTTTGGACGTGTGCTTGATCCTCAACACACCACTGAATATGTCACGAATGATCGTCAATGTTAAAAGCAATACCTGCACTTTGATTAATGAGGATAGAGAGAATTTAGCCCTGGCTTCTTTCTCCGAGCTTGTGCATTCACATTCAGGTGGATCGTTCAGTCTCATGCAGGCCAGGTGGGTGCGAGTCTGGAAAAATGTAGGGAATAAATCATTAAATCATAATTGCCAGGATACAGAACACTCGTTTTGCCATCAATGAATAAAAAAAGACCCTTGGCACAGCATCAAGTTTTGGTAATATTGGGTGGCGTCCAGAAGCGGCCCGTCATAAAAAGCGATGTGTATCCTGTGCAGCTTTTCAACTTTATTCCTCACCTAACAGATGTTACTGATTATTCTAATCAGAAATCTCTTAGCATCTGGTCTGCCCACTCACTGACGTGTCACGGATAAGATTGTGCTTTGAAAAGTCCACCCAAAATGTGGAAATCCTCCCCTGGTATGCAGTCGTTTTCATAAAGCACAGTATCATGAGAGAGGTCCAATATAAAATCATCCAGTTAGGTGGTAGTGGAGAGGGATTTTTGGCCCAGAGACTTGTTTTGAGAAACAGATTGATGAGAAATGAAGCCTTAAATTTTAAAATAAAAATATATATCTCTAAGAAAACAATATTTTTGTGATATTAATGATGAATGATATTTACTACCATCAGTTAAGGTCTGTGATAAATTACGGTAACCTATTGTTTTTGGTTTATTTTTAAAAACATGATGAAGTGCATGATGACTACCTAATGTGAATTATTTTGTCGGTCAGTTAATCACGTCAGAAAGACTTTAAGAGCAAGATGACACTGTTTGTGTAGTATGAAATAATGCTTATGGTAATACCACGGTCAATCATTTGATATCCAGATTAGCGCAGGCCAATTCAATACCAACAAATCATACTTGGATCTCAGATCTCACATCTTGTGACACTCGCCCCTGCTTACCTGTACCGTAGCCTCTGTATGTACCACAAGGCAGCTTTTTAAGAAATAAGGGTTGAGTCAGAGCGAACAGAGACCTGGTTAAGGTTGCTGAAAGAAGGAAGGATGACACGGTCACAGATCTTGCCGCATTGCTTCTCCCTGCGGTAGCATTACACCACATCTGATACAGTCATTAATTCTACTGTGTGTGGAGGCCCTCGCTCTGTTTATCTGACCAATTGAGTTTTATGGTTTGCCTTGGCCTGCTGCTGTTTACCCTGTACACATCCACACATGTGAGGCCACGCTGGGTGCAAAGGAGCGCTCTGTGACTCAAAGCTTCTGCCTGTCTATCTGTCTCTCTCTTGACCTGGAGTGCAGTTTAATCGATCAGTGTAAAACCTTTTGGAGGCAGGGAGTTCACATGGCCTGATAGTAACGTTTGTGCTCTTTCATACAAGCATATAACCTGACATGTAATGTAGTCAAGCATGCTTTAACCTTTCAGTCAATTTTTAAACCTTTGAGTTTTACTCATTTTGACCTACACTCACCTAAAGGATTATTTGGAACACCTGTTCAATTTCTCATTAATGCAATTATCTAATCAACCAATCACATGGCAGTTGCTTCAATGCATTTAGGGGTGTGGTCCTGGTCAAGACAATCTCCTGAACTCCAAACTGAATGTCAGAATGGGAAAGAAAGGTGATTTAAGCAATTTTGAGCGTGGCATGGTTGTTGGTGCCAGACGGGCCGGTCTGAGTATTTCACAATCTGCTCAGTTACTGGGATTTTCACGCACAACCATTTCTAGGGTTTACAAAGAATGGTGTGAAAAGGGAAAAACATCCAGTATGCGGCAGTCCTGTGGGCGAAAATGCCTTGTTGATGCTAGAGGTCAGAGGAGAATGGGCCGATGATTCAAGCTGATAGAAGAGCCACTTTGACTGAAATAACCACTCGTTACAACCGAGGTATGCAGCAAAGCATTTGTGAAGCCACAACACGCACAACCTTGAGGCGGATGGGCTACAACAGCAGAAGACCCCACCGGGTACCACTCATCTCCACTACAAATAGGAAAAAGAGCCTACAATTTGCAAGAGCTCACCAAAATTGGACAGTTGAAGACTGGAAAAATGTTGTCTGGTCTGATGAGTCTCGATTTCTGTTGAGACATTCAGATGGTAGAGTCAGAATTTGGCGTAAACATAATGAGAACATGGATCCATCATGCCTTGTTACCACTGTGCAGGCTGGTGGTGGTGGTGTAATGATGTGGGGGATGTTTTCTTGGCAAACTTTAGGCCCCTTAGTGCCAATTGGGCATCGTTTAAATGCCACAGCCTACCTGAGCATTGTTTCTGACCATGTCCATCCCTTTATGGCCACCATGTACCCATCCTCTGATGGCTACTTCCAGCAAGATAATGCACCATGTCACAAAGCTCGAATCATTTCAAATTGGTTTCTTGAACATGACAATGAGTTCACTGTACTAAAATGGCCCCCACAGTCACCAGATCTCAACCCGCTAGAGCATCTTTGGGATGTGGTGGAACGGGAGCTTCGTGCCCTGGATGTGCATCCCACAAATCTCCATCAACTGCAAGATGCTATCCTATCAATATGGGCCAACATTTCTAAAGAATGTTTTCAGCACCTTGTTGAATCAATGCCATGTATAATTAAGGCAGTTCTGAAGGCAAAAGGGGGTCAAACAGTATTAGTATGGTGTTCCTAATAATCCTTTAGGTGAGTGTATTTTACTATGTTTTCTGGTGTGGACTTTCGGTTTTACCTAATAAAGTTTAACATTTATTTATTTATTTATTTATAAATAGCTGATTATACTACCATTCGAATGTTTAGGTTCAGTAAGTTTTTTCTAAAAAGAAATTATTGATCAAAAGTGACAATACATCTATAATGTTACAAAAGATTTCTATTTCAAATAAATGCTGTTCTTTTGAACGTTGTATTCATCAAAGAATATTATCGTTTCCAAAAAATTATTAATCAGCACAACTGTTTTCATCATTGATAATAATGTCTCTTGGACAACTAATCTGCATATTTAGAATCTTTTCTGAAGGATCATGTGACGCTGGTGTAATGATGCTGAAAATTCAGCTTTGCCATCACATGAATAAATTGAATTATACTGTGATAAAGCAGAAATTGTCATAATATTTCACAATTTTACTGTTTTGACTGTATTTTTTATCAAATATATGCAGCCTTGGTGAGCAACCCTCTACCGACACACTGAAGCTCGGGTCGCCATAGGCTAGTAAAAAATACATGAACAATGCAAAAGAAAAAAATCTATTATTGACAGAAATTAAAACAGAAACTGAATAAACAAATGTAAAAAAAAAAAACATTGCACAGGCTTCACTTTATAAATGATGTAGTATATGTAATATAGATGAATCCTTATTATGGTGCGTTCACACCGGACGCGAATAGCGCGTCAGGCGCGAGTGATTTCAATGTTAAGTCAATGCAAAGACGCGTTACGCGCGTAAAAAATTCCTGCGGCGCGAATGAGGCGTAGAGCGCGGCGCGTTAGACGCGAATACGCCTCATTCGCGCGTCAAGTTCGCGCGAGTAGCGCGAATTGAGCGTCTGGCGCGTTAAGCGCGTTACGCGCGAATGATTTAGTTAGTGCTATTTGTGCATTCACGCGTTTGACGCGAATTCGCGTCTGCCGCCCGAGTTGAAAAATCTGAACTTCTGCGTCAATTCGCGCCGCGTTAACCAATCAGGAGCCTAGCTGCTTGCTGCTGTCACGTGGTGAAGTATCTGGATGCTTCAATAAATTATGTTGTAATATATGACTGTGGTTCTAATGCACAACAAAGCAAATATTTTATCACATAAAACTTGATTTCAATATATGAGACATATTCATTTTGCATTAAATGCTATTTATTCCATATCTAGATTATATGAAATATTATTATAATGTAAAGACAACCAACATATAAGTTCGTGTCTGGACAGTGATGTGTGAGAGAGAGAGAAAAATCACAGGACAGATTAATCACTTTTGGAGGCTGGCTTCATTTATTATCAAAACAAAAATAAATGACAGATTAGGTGGATGCGGGGGAGGGTGAACCTCGTGCCGGGCTGTAGAGCGCGGGCTCGACAGGCATAGCTAGACCACTCGAGGCCGAGGGCTTATACGGCCTACGCTGTCCTCGTCGGCGTCCTCACCATTAGGTCCACCAAACCTAGCTCCTGGAGCAAATTGTGAAACTCCTGAAACCCTCCGGAGGGTCTGGTGGACCCGAGTACAGCGACGATGTCCCCTACGGAGCTGTTTCTGCTCTCCAGAGCATATACGAGTGGTGACTCTCTCGAATAATGCTAATGCTAATGCTCGATAAACATCTAAAAAGATGGCCGCCAACGGGTTTCGAAACTTTCGCCTCCGGATTTCGCCTCTGACGCGCGTAAATTTCGCTTCAAACTTTTGTTTTTACGCGCGTCAATTTCGCCATTGACACGCGAATTAACACAAAGTGGTCAAGCGTCAAACTAGACGCGGTAGACGCGAATTTGACGCGCTATTCGCGTCCGGTGTGAACGCACAGTTAAAGTTACAAAAGTTATTCAGTCTGGAGCAGTGCATGTATTTTTTGTTGTTTGATTAACATTAAAAACACAGACAGCAGCAAGCACATTAAGCTGTTGTCACTTTAAGACATAATGCATGGTTTCATTATAACAATACTGTTACACATGCGTTGTCTTTCTCAACTGTTTACATTCACTCAATTTTGTGTAAACTTGTCCATTTAAGTGCAGGAACTTAATTCAGTATTTGCGTGCTGTCAGACATGGTTTTCTGGGATTTAATTCTGATAATTAAATTCTCTTTACTGTTCACTACTGAGAATTTAATTCAAATTTAATTCTCTTCCATTTCTTCTTGCTTTTGAATATTTAATTTGACAAGGCTTAAAAACACGTGCAAATGATAAACTTGAAGCAGCACTGGCCCTATAGGCGCACATTACTAACACGCTCTTTAAATAACAAAAGAAAATTCAAATTTTCAAAATTCGCCATTGAGTTTAGACCAGATTTTTGTTGGTCAATGACGCAGTCTATTTCAGTTGCCTCAAAATAGCAACGCGCCAACAATGCGCCCGAACACACCTCGTTTTCAGACCAGCACGCCCATGGGCGCACAAATGCATTTGCTATTTAAACGACGTGGCGTAGGACTTGAAAATGATAACTGCGTCAGGTTGAAACTAGCAAAAAACACTTACGTCGCGCTTGGCACTGCATTGCGCCGGGTGTATGATAGGGCCCTATATGCGTTAAACTTATTTTTTGCCTCTAACTCTCTAAAATTGTGAAATTTACTAGCCATTTTTAGTCGCCTAGTGTGAAATTTTTAGTCGCCTAGTGTGAAATATGGTTGCATATGCGAATGATTTACTCGCATTGTAGAAGGTTGGTGAGCGGACATATACAAATCTTTGAAAAACATACAAAAATCTTACTGACTCCAAACTTTTGAATGATAGGGTAAGCTCCTGGATCACAGTTGTGGAGCGATGCTGCACACTCCCAGAAAACTGTGCCAGATTGCAGTAGTCTGCTGCATTCACCATATCTGAACACTGACATACAGTATGAACCACAATAGTGGTGATCGTGTGTGCAATAAATGTCGCTATCAGTAGGCACAGTAAAGTCCCCAAATGTGTTTTTGTGAGTGCTGCCCCAGGGCTCCTGGGATTACTTTCCTCTGTCTTGCTTCTGTTCTTCATGCCACCGAGGACATTAACTCTTATTTTGTGAGTCCTGTCTGTCCCAATTAAGGCGCCAATTTTTCCTTTGCCAAGTTGCACCTGGGTCTTTTGGTCGATTGAGGTCTTGGGAAATGTGCTTCACATCCATTGCCAAGACATGTGGTTTTTCCCAGACACTCTCTCTCTGTTTTCCCTTTCACTTGGTTTCTTCCTCTTTGCCTCCCATTATGTCTTTTTGTGAAAATTGTCATAACAAGTGGAAGATTCAAGAGATTAAATGGTTGTTCATAATAAGCAAGCACACATAATTGTTAGGTTGCAAAACCGAGTGAACTGCCTGTGGAGGCAGCATTTTAAGGTGAGATCCCCAAGCAAATTCTGTTCTAAAAAGGTTTGCAAATTAAATATGCTGCCTCCCCGGTTTTAATTCAGGCAGCATTGCATACATCACAAAGAAGGCAATCCCAGAATATGTTTTGATGAGCACAATTTAACCTATATTTAAAATGAAAAAATAAATCCAAGAGAATGAAAAAAGCAAGATAAATTGATTTAACAATTTAATATATTTAAAATTAAATACATTTAATTCACTACAAAAAATTATCAATAAAAACGAATGACTTTTACTCTTTTTGTTTACTACCCCATTGTAAGCTTAGCAACATGCTAACATCCATATCTGTTGGAATCGTTTGTGGGAGCACAATTTGTGAGCGAATTTGCTGCATACTGTATGTAGAGTATTCCAAATCCGTCATGAATGAGTTTTCATGACAGTATGCTGCTTTAGAAGAAAGTAGCTATGTAGGCAGTATGGCAGCTCACTGGGTTTTTAAACAGAGATAGTGAGTGTACATGTAAGTGTTTGCAAAAAGATCCTTAACTTTTGATGGCAAGTTAGAGCATTTTCTTTTTTTGCTTTGGATGAGGTTTGCATATGTGTTTTTGCAGGGGCACCTGATGTGTACCAGCCATGTGAGCCCAGCATGCAAGCCTGGAGTCCTGAAGTCAACCTGTATGAGCCCAACATGACCACGCCGTGCCCCCAGACTGAGGGCTGCGTGCTGGAATTGCACTTCCTTCATCCGGTTGTCCCTGGCAGCTTGACCGTCTGGATCACCTACACCTCAGCCAGTTAGTACTGTCTGAACATATAAAACACCTGACATTATGGAAATATACAGTAGGGTACAATGGGGCAAAAGGCGCCTTTGAATTTCCCTCCAAACCACTAGGCACAAAAACTTGCCACAGCACTTTCCAAAACGTCCACTTTTCAAGATGCTCGTGGATTTTTGTCTAATTCTTGACGCAATCGCAGGCAAAAGCTTGATCAAAAGTTGATTCTGTGCTATACTTTGATCTAATTTTTTTTTTGTTATTTAGATTTAAGTAGCAAATGATAATCGCTAAAATGATTGAATATATTTTGAGACCAAGGTCTTCTTAATGATTTTCAGTTTTGTTCAAGCTAATTAAAGTAACAGTTTTTCAATAACAGAAGAATATGTAAAAGTATGGTATTTTGGGGGTAAAAGCCCTGCTTTGGGGCTAAAGGCACAATTATTAATAAAAAGCTGGCTGACTTTTCCATTTGTTGACATGACATGGTTAGATTCAGAAGGTAAATATCATATATTAAGTTTGGGTGTCCACCTTAGAGATAATCACCATATTTATAATGAAACCATCATATTTAAAAATACGATATTAGTCATATCATAATAAAAGATAATTTATTGTTACTACTGTATATCTATATTAAATTATTTTGGGATCTCCTTCAATGCTTTCAGAATCATTAATTTAAAATATTTTAAAAATATGTTTTTATATTAACATTGTAATGCATATTTATTGAACAAAAATGAATTATTTTATTCTCAAAATAAACAGAAAACAGTTGCTAAAGTGGTTGTTTTGAACAAGTAGTAACTTAGACATTATTAAAAACATTTTTTAGCTTAAGTATTTATATCACTAATTCGTGTCTATTTTGCCCCATTGTGAGCCTTTTATCGCATATGTGTGCTAAAAAGCCCACCTTGCCACCTCATATATTTAAGATTAAGATTAAACAAAAAAATAAACCACTTTTATGATTTATTTTCGCACAAAATCTCCATCAATGCTCCATCAATGTTCAATAAAAACATTATATATATTTCTGCAATCATACACTAAGAGGGAAAAAAAGCAGTGAAAAGCAATTTTCTTAATGTGTGGCTTTAGCCCCGTTGTACCCTATTGTAAAAAAGTTTTGGATTTTTTTTTTTTGGAAAGAAATTAATATTTTTATTCCGATCAATTGATCACCAATTCTACTTTGAAGTGTCAGTTCTATGTTTACATTGGTACAAAACATTTTCTAAAAAAAAAGTAAAATCTATTTCAAGTAAAATTTCTATTTCAAGTAAATGCTGTTCTTTTGAAATTTCTATTCATCATCCTGAATCCTATTTTTTTTAATCACATTTCCACTAAAATAGCAACACAACTGTTTTCAACATTAATAGTACTAAGAAATGTCTCTTCTGATTTCTGAAGGATCATGTGACAGTGAAGACTGGAGTAATGGCTACTGAAAATTCAGCTTTGCCATCACAGGAATAAATTGTGAATTTAAAATATATTAATAATTTCACTGTATTTTTTATCAAATGAATGCAGCCTTGGTGAACATAGGAAACTTCTTTCAAAAATAGAAAGAAAAAAAATCTTACTGCCCCCAAACTTCTGACCAGCTGTGTATTAATGGTTTATTTGAATCCAGTCTTCTGTTTTTCCACAGATCAAAAAGCAATTGCTAATATTATGTTCATAATGGAGAACGACGAGTCGGTCAACACAGGTCCCCAGCATGCTTTCTGTGATATTCCTTTGACACTCCATTTACACACTAGTAAGAAGGTCAAGGCCATTAAAATCTCCACCTTTGACAAGAAGCTTGAGATTGATGCTGTCTTGCTGACATCGCGACCCCAAAATCCCCTGTGCTCTGGATGCCACCTCCTTCTCTACAGAGTGCTCAGAGAGCCACCAATCAGAGAGGACCGGAGTCCCGTCACCGTCAAACAGCCCACGTACACTGACAGGTAGGAACGTGTGTCTGTGTGATTAATGATAGCACTTTATTTTGTATGTAGACACTATTATAAAGTAAAGACTATATTTTGAATATATTTATTTCGATTCAAAATTTATTCGAAATTGTTGAGCCATTAGTAATACTGTCAAGCTTTTTCAAATGACGTCTTTGTCATGTTTTATTGTGTTTCTGGTTGATTTACAGTATTTCTGGGAGTATTATTTTTAAGTGTGGCTTAAGTATAAATGATGAACATGTTGCCTTTCTAAAACTGTCATCGAATTGTATCTTCAGTGTATCACTGTTCAAGTATTGTTCAACCGTTTTCGAAGCGACTCAACAAAGTCATTAGCCATTTCATTAGCCAGTCAAGTATCGATGCATAGCCAATTTCTGTTCTGTTCCTGTCACATTTTATTATGCTTGTTCCAATAGAAATTCATCAACGGGGAACTGGATTGTTGTTCAAGTACTTGGAATAGGTCAAAATGTCTAGAGATTAATAGTGTGGATCAGAGAATGTAACATATCCAGAAAAGTTCCCTCCACAAGTCCTGTAAGCTCCGAAAGATGGAAACTCGATTGGGAATTGAGCCAGGAAAGGAAAGAAAGACAGATTGTATCAGAGAGAGAGAGAGAGAGAGAGAGAGAGAGAGAGAGAGTGGTACAATGAAACCCTAGAATATAAACCAAATGGGACCGCTTTACCCGGAGAAACAGTAAACACTCATGGCTGTTTGTAGCTGCTCTAAAATTGTTTCCAATCTCTGGCTGAAGGGAGTAGCGCACGCAGTGTAGTTAGTGTGCAGTAAGTGAGAGACCTGTCATTTAGCATGGGAGACAAAAAGAGTGACAAGGAGAAGGAGAAGGGTATTCCTGCACAACCGGAGGCTGCAGTTTCAGGACCCCAGTTTTAGGACCGCAGTTTCAGGACCCTAGTTTTCTGTTACAGTGCCACCTACCGAACTGGATCACCAAAAACACTCATTTAACCCCTTTCGCGGCAAAGAACACAGACGGCCCCAGATTGTTGTTGTTCAACATTCATTATTCGTTAAAACATCACACTCTTACTTATTTGATTTAGACAAACTGAGCATCATTAGACATATTTAAAACTCCAGCTTTGATGGTTGACCACTGTTTATGATAAAACTGGTTTCAGTGACACTCATTTCTTAATTTATGACAGGAGTGCAAAATTATTAATCTGTAACGTTCGTTATTTTGAATAGAAATCATCACTCATAAAGCAGTCATTCATGTCTTCTCCGGTTTATTTGTGTTCACATACATACAGCATCCGCCAGGGCTCTTAGGCCAATGGTGTGCATATTTGGAGAAATAATGATTTTCATGTTCCACTAAATTATGCGATCTGAAGCTCAAACAGCGAACACGGCAAGATCTGTCTATGGATCTGTCTCTCCTCTTCCTGATTTGCGTCAGTTATGATCTCTGCGCTCTCCTATAGAGCTGTCAATCATCTCACATGGTTTAACGTGACAATAATCCTGCCCTTCTGCATGATGCGCTATTGTGTATGCGGTGTACACTTCCTCATTCTGACCTCCGTGATAACAAAGCTAAGACACATCTCTTCACCTGAAACAAGAAGCTAATAAATGCACGATTTCGAGTATGGTTTGTGTGTGATTTTCGTGTGATTTTGGATATTTTCATATGAATAAAGAATGTTTACAGTATTGCTAAGCAAGGTCTAGCCATTAGCTGCATATAAAATGCTAAATATAACACATTTCAACATCTTTTTTTTAACTTAAAACCATTTTTAACCGCGACCGGAATATGATACAAATACTCTATGGTGGTTTAAAGTGAGCTTTAAGTAAAAATGTAATATTGTGTCATGTGGCTTGATGCTACTTGCTCTATACCTGTTGCAGGAGCTTTTCTAGTTCATAATCTTTTTTGTTAATAAATATATATAATTTTTTTTTTTTTTTTTCTAACAAGACTTAAGACAATAGGTGGATCTTGATACTATGTACAAACTAAACCACCTGGATCCTAGAACCGCAGCCGCCGCTATATCATCCAGTTTGGTAGGTGGCGGCGTGGCGCTGTCACAAAAAACGAGGGTCCTGAAACTGCGGTCCTAAAACTGGGGTCCTGAAACTGCAGCCTCCGGTTGTGCAGGAACATACTACTGAGGAGAAGAGGGGAAATTGGGAGTGGGATTAAATATGGTTTTGTGGGAAAGTGGGCTACAGTGCCACCGTGAGGTCTGCAGCAAAAACAAAGCACTTCCCACAAATTGGGTAGGGTAATGAAGAATTTCTTCGGGAGGGGGGATTCGATATTTCTTACAATAACTTTGGTAACAGGGTTGAATCATAGAGGAATCCAACAGCACAATATTTGTACTTTTGACAAATTTAAGAATGGCTTCTTAGTAGGGATGCACCGATTTACCGATACCATTACCATTATCAGCCCGATACTGTTCATGTGCTCGTACTCGAAAAAATGCTCTGAAACCACCAACCGATACCAGGCAGCGTTTGTACACTTGTATCCAAACAAAGAAACACTGACAACAGAGAGTATAATGGTGATTAAAAAAAAAGCTGTCTATGAAGTAAATGTATCTTATTAGTGGAATATTAAACGAAATATAGTAACACCTACTGTATATGTGGTGCGCGAGCTGATAAGAGAAAAACGCGCAGGACTGAGCGCGCAACGGCACAGTTAGCGTGAGCTGGTCGAGCGCATCCCTTTTTCACAGACGTAAAACATGAACTGTTACCTAATTTATGTATAACGAGTGATTCCATACATTATTGCAGGACGTGTCCAAGTCAAGAAATTCCATAAAGAACGCAAAGCGCGCGCCCCGAAAACCAGCATCTCAGCGCGCAAATACTGAATTGAATTGTCTTTCACGTCTCTTGCTTGTACTCAAATTCATTACTCAAACTGGAATTCAAGTGAACGTAGACGGTACAATTCGGGTCCGTGCATTTGGTCTTAAAGGGGCAGCAGTCTTATAAACCTGCTGCTGTGTTTTAATGTTAATCAAACAAAGGACAAATAAATTACTCACTGCTCTTGACTAAATAGGCTACCTTTTGTGATTTTACCAAAATATCCATCTATATTTAATTTATATGCATATGTAATGAATATGCAGGGTTTTTATCACATTTGATTGATTAAGGTAGTTTTTGTTGTTGTATCAACATTGGAATAAAGAATTAATATGTCACTGGTGTCTAAACATTTGTACCACTGACCCAATCCTCAGCACTAAGCCCTTCTGGAGCTTTTTTTAAAATATGCTGTGCTATTAAATGAAAGATAAAATATGATAGAGCAATAGAATGAAGAGTGAAAGTAACAAAAGCTCATACAATGCTTTTTAGCAGTCTTAATTAGGCATGAAAATAACTGAAGGAAATATTTATTTGATGAACAAATTAAGCCAACTAATATGATGTATATTATTTTGGTTTCTCTACCAATACATTTAAAAATTACAAATGCAGTGAAAATACAGGGATCGGTTATACGGTATCGGTGAGTACCAAAAATTAAAGTATCGGTATCGGACTCGTTCTGGAAAAAGTGGTATCGGTGCATCCCTTCTTCTTAGGTTATATTATTGACTAGTTATGCTGTAAAAAGGGTCTGAATGTTATTTCTTGAGTGTCTTAATTACGTTTTAAGAAAGATGATGTTTTTCATTGAATGAGTTAAATAGTTGTATACAGTCAAGGTCGAAATATCTGAAGTTAGACAAGCCCAAATGTGTACAGACATTTGATGCGTTTAAGCTCAAGTGTGCTAAGTTCTCCTCTCCTTAGTCACAGAGATAAAGGTTTTAAGAGATTAATGGCTATTCTACTGTACAATTGACAAATAAAATGTTATACCTCACCAGCACCATCTTGTGCTGTAGGTAACTGTCTCTCTATAACTGTCTGTGCTACTAAGAGAGAAATATGACTTTATCTTATCACTTCACATCCTTCATTGGATCTCCCTTTGCGACCTCAGAACAATAGCTGTCTAGTATAGTAGTCTCTCTCCCCTTCCCTGTCCCTGGAAGTGATCCATAATTAATAAGGGCAATTTGTTGAGTAATAAGACCCTCTGGAGAAAGTAGATGATGCTCAGTTAGCTAGGCATCCTCTTACCACCAGCCGGAAAATGACTGAAATCAAACAAGCCTTGGCAATCATGGCGAGACTCTTTTTATAGGGTCATTGAATCAGATCAGATCGATACCCTGAGGTCACAGTGGGGCATGCAGTGATACCCTCAACATTAAAAGGTCGTTTTAAGGTTAGATTTGAGATCACCCTGAGAATAAATATAGCTTAGATCAAGTATTACTGCTGCATGTTTTAAATTCATACTGTGCGTTCGTTCGAGCAATAGAGCAATAGCAATATAAACACACACACACACACACACACACACACACACACACACACACACACACACACACACACACACACACACACACACACACACACACACACACACACACACACACACGCTAATTCATTCAACTTTTTAATGTTCTCACCACTTGCTCATTACTTTACTAACTAACTATGTATCCGTTTCTGTATGTGTTTGTATTTGTTTGCTTATAGTGATGTGCAGAGGGATGTTCAGTACCTGTACAGGATCCAGGTGGAGTCAGACGGTTTTTTCAGTGAACTTTCCCCAGGCTTGGTTTATACTCATGGAGAACATTTCTGTGGTGATGGCACACTACAGGGGTCAGTATAAACTTATTAGGTCTGTCAGAGGCTTTGCATGTTATGTACTTGAGTCATTTTTAAAGAATGTTTCATATTTTTGAGTATTTGTTTGAGCCTTTCATGTTTTGAAGCATAGCCAAAGAACTTCCACATATTTCATAACTGTAACCCTTGGCTTCAATATGTTTCCCCCACAGGACTGAGGATTGTGATGACGGGAATCTCTTAGATGGAGACGGCTGCTCAAAAAAATGCCATATCGAACCAGGTTTCAAGTGTCATGGTGAGTCACTCTTGCAAAAACAAATACTCTCACTGTCCACTGAGAACTCTGGCCCTCAGACTGTAAACACCACAACAGAAGCACCAGAAAAGTCCACACAGGATAACAAACCAATAATCATAACCAGCTCGCAAAACAAAACAAACCAAACCAAAACAATATGTCTCATGTAGATTCGGATTCTTCTGCTACTGTTTTTCTCTCTCAGACTGAATTAAAGCTGCAGTCGGCAAGTCTGGCAGATTGAGTGGACTTAGGCAAAATTTTGAATGTTTACAACTCTCATGGCCCTCCCCCACTATCAATGAATACCCTCACACCGAGTTCATGCTCGTCAGTGCGTGTGCACCAGATTTTCAGTGAACGCGCCCGTCTCATCAGCATCCATCAACACCATGGATTATTTGGAGGTATGCTGTCCTGGCTAATCTACCGATAGATTGCAATTGCTAACGTCATTTATACTCTAAATGAGCTTACTTGATTTTCCGCCATCACTCTTCGTTACTGCGCGAACTTCCCAGAACTTCAGGCGTGTGCATGTGATTGTAACGTGCGCGAGGGGTGGCGTGTGCCCAATCTGTGATTGACAGTCAGATCTCACACCCCCCCTGCGTTGATTGGACCCGATGATCCGGGAGCTGTGGGATTTTTGCAAAACAAATAACACGCTCCAGGTGGAGTTAGAAGCTCAGGTTTTTTTCTAAAACCACTTTATTTATGTTGTTCTGTCGGATTATAGTGTCGATTTCACTAAATATGATCAAAAAATGTTGCAGACGGCAGCTTTAAGGAGAAAATGTGGAGGTCTTCAAATGTGGCTGTCTTTATTTTTGCAGCTATTCCAAAAAATCAAAATGTCAAATTCCTGAATCCATTCTTATAACACTAGACTATCTGTCATCAGATGCACAGAATCGTTACTCTTTTAATATGGCCAACATCTTTATATATAATCTGTACATGTATAATCTGTAGATCAGAAACTGTACAAGCAAACAATATTTAGTGTATTGTTGGATATTATATAGCAAAATACAGAAATCCTTAATGATTTTGTTGATGTTGTTAAGGGGCATCATATAATATTCAATATCCTGTATACAGTATACAGTATGTGTATATGAATATGTGAATTAAAATCTAAGATCAATTAAAAAAAACCTTTCCTCTCATGTTAATGAGGTGTGGATTATTGAGAAATCACTGTTGTTTTTATTTCAAGGCTGACCAAAAAAGAAAAAGTAGAAAAAACACTTTCCCAATGTGAATTATGAGTAATTTCCTTGACAGCAGAATCTGTGATGTCTGATCATTCGGTATGAATCTTTACGCAATATATTTGGCGAGAAATTCAAAGATTAAATCCAGACTTCAAAGTATCCAGTCCAAACTGGATTTTAGGTCATTTACTGCAACACAACTTGTGCTATTTCTTATAATGAAGATGTTCTTAGTCAATATTTTCATAGTTTTATGTCATCACACTATTGGAAATGTTCAAAAGTAGTGCAAGTTCATGTTGTAGGCTGCAATTGATCTTCACAACAATTATATCATCTAACTGTATGCCATTTTTACATAATGTACTGGAGTGAGAGTGAGACAATCCAGTAAGACTCAGGGGAAAAAACTAATTGTTCACCAATTTAGTCAATGTTGTTTTCGTGACTGAAAGTGCATTTTTCTGTGAGCGTGAAGCATGAGAAGTGTCTAATTCAAACATGACCATAGACACAGCAGCGACTCACATGCCTCAAACATCCCAATGTTTTCATAGTAGCTTGTAACCACATTTTTGTGGATTTAGGGCATTCAGGAATGGCTTTTTTTTGCGATATTTACTCTAATGCCACATTAGGAGCTCTCATATATTATCTCCACGAGCGTATTTGGGGAGCAAAGATCAACACAGCTTAGGAGTAAATCCTTTGGCATTGGCATGTGGGTTAGGTCAGCTGTTCTGCAGCAGTGGCGGCCAATCAAAATCTTGTGTTTTTAATTTGTTGTTAGAACCCTTTTGAGCCCCTTGTCTTTGATAAGCTGTTCCCACCAATGAGTCATCTTCCTTTTACCTTGCAGCATTCTCAGACAAGAGCTCATGCAAGACTCTGATGTCATTCACACGTGCCCCTCTAACGAATTCACTTTAATGACATGCTAATTCTCCTTTTACCTCCACGTGCACTTCTGTCATAACTCATTCAAATGTAATGACATCATCCACACATTTCAATGCGACGTCTTGATTGTTTATTTAATCGTCTGAGTGGAATCACGTTACTTTTATTTTCAATTCGCACACAAGTGAAGCATATTCTCACTGACTTGCTATGAAAACACAATTACAACTTGGCAGTGGAGTCATTACTTGTTACTAATGATGAGTTTGTGTTCACTCTCTCTTACTTTTTCTGTCTCTTTCAGGTCAGCCGAGCTTGTGCTACGTGTTTGAAGGGGATGGAGTGTGCGAGGAGTTTGAAAGAGGTTCCAGCATCCAAGACTGTGGCTTTTTCACTCCCCAGGGGTTCACTGATCAGTGGGCATCCACCGCCTCAGGCTCACATCAGGACCAGAGATGCCCTGCCTCTAGGGTCACCGGGGAGCCTGTGCTCACTCAGGTACACAAATATTGTCCTTCAAGCTAAGTCCTTTGTTTACCCCTATTGACCCTATTGAACATCATTTCAAACCACTTGTTACAAATTAACCTTATGATTGTTCTGAATGAAATCATATATATTTTACATTTCTTTTTTTGCTTTCCTTATCAGATGTGCAAGTCGCAGTATTTTGACATAAATGAAGTAGTGGCTCATGATGCATGGAGGCCCTGTACTGCCCATCTGAACAGCTATTATACTCAGGATCAGTCTGTCTGGCTAAAGGTACATGGTGAATCAAAAGCCAGAGAATAAAAATATGTTTTCAAACGAGATTTAAAAGTGTGGAGGGTGGGTGCCACTTTAATATGTGGAGGTAAATCATTCCACAGTTTGGGGGAAACTGCTGAGAAAGAGCGGTCGCCTCTGGTCTTTAGCCTGGTCCTGGGCACGTTCAGCCGCAGCTGATCACCAGACCTCAGCGACCTTGACGGGGTGTGGGTATGCAAGAGCTTAGAGATGTACTGAGGTGCCATCCCATTTAATGACTTAAAAACCAACATCAAAATTTTAAATTGTATTCTAAAATGTACAGGGAGCCAGTGAAGTGAAGCCAAAATGGGGGTAATATGTTCGTGTTTCCGGGTCCCTGTTAAGAGACGAGCAGCTGCATTTTGGACCAACTGTAGGCGTGAAAGGGAGGTTTGGTTCAAGCCGATGTAAAGAGCAGGGACGTGCACAGGGGGGTTGCTCAGGTTGCCCGGGCAACTGCCCATATGCCCTTCTCGACTCAGGTTGCCCTTCCGAGAAAAAAATAAATAAAAAAATCGTACAATGGATGCAGAATTTCACGTAGGCCTAGATAAAAAATAAAAAAAAATCGCAAAGCCTCATTCACTTCCATTCAGGCACTCAGCTCAACTGTTTACGTGGCTGCTGCGCTGCACCTGACCATAGACTGCACGTAAGACCCCGCAAATTACTTAAGGCCCCGCCTCCATCTCGTGTCATAGCGCGTCAAATAATGTGTACAACATCCATGACAAAATGAAGTGAAACTATCCTTCTGGTCACGAAAAGAGAAAGAAGAAAAAAAACATGAGAGTGAATTGCGGGAACAACAATCAGGTAAACTTGAGTTCTCTCCTGTCTAAGTTTGATGTCAGCAAAGTTTGATGTTTTTCGGTCTTGCTAACCTAGCTGGGCAGGCAATGCATCTCTTGCATCACTTTGTGCCTGACAAAAGTGAGAGTAAAATACAATTATTTATTACGTTTGTTTTTGATAAACGACAAAGTGCAACGGTGTTTGTTTACTTCAGCTTGGAAAACATAACTGTGTCGCGTGTGTTATCATGCGTTCATATGCGCGTGCACGAAATGAAACTCGCATTTTTCAAGCAAAAATATGTGGAGACCAGACATACTGTACAATACATGCACGTGAATGATGGCACTCCCAATCAAAGTACACATTATAAAACAAGACACTGATTATCTAGTCTCTAAACAACTGCACTAATTATGCAAGATAGAAAGCAATGTATTGACAATTTGACATTGATTGACTGTTGATTTATAGGCTATATTGAATTTAAAATGTTGATTAGCTGGACATACTGGTCAATATGGATGCACATCCCTCAGTAAATAATAACCATAAATCAAGAATTGCTTCAACATGCATAATAATAATAAAAAAATCATACTGATGCCGAAAATACCCAGGCTGTAGAGAGAACCAAAGTTAATCCCAAAAGCCAAAGCTCAGGGTTATAATTTATTATTTTCTTCAATAATTCAATAAATATTGTTTGTTTGAACCTCATTCTGTTCTATATTCTTGTACTTATTCTTTGACTGTTTTGTTTAAAGGAGGGAGGATTGTATGGGAGCACTGAAGTGTCAGGTGTGACTGTGTGGCAATGGCAAATGGTTTACATAGCTCACGGCGTCACAGGTCAGGTAGAGGGCCCCTTAGCAGAATTTTGCTTAGGGCCCGAGGGGGAGGTCAGGATCGGCACTGGGTTTAGCAGTCGATTCTGTTCCCTACCGGAATTCCTGTTCCCTTTACGCAATCATACTACAAATCATGCGTAGTTGCCCGTAGCCTACCATCAGAACTGAATACGAGCAAGAAGCACAACTGAATGTATGGGAAGCCAAAAGGTTAAAAAAGGATTGTATTTTTTCCCGAAATCTAAGCGTTTTTATTTATTTATTTTATTACAAGCAAGTTTTTCCATTCAATCCAGATTATTTCTTGAAAAAAAATTTTTTATAATAATAATAATAAACAATAAACAATAATATTGGGGGGGGGGGGGGGGGGGGGGGGGTGCCCTTTTTTCAGGTCAGAGCAACTGCCCCTCAAAATTCCTGTGCACGTCCCTGGTAAAGTGCATTACAATAGTCCAATCTGGTCGAAATAAAAGCATGAATTACGCGTTTAAAAAGGTCAAAAGATAATACAGGTTTAATTTTAGATAATAATAATAATAATAAACTTTATTTTATATAGTGCCTTTAAAAGTAGCATTCTCAAAGCACTTTACATAAAAATAATGAAATTAGAAAGATACACAACAGTCTAGGCAGTAAAAACTAAACAAGCAATACAAATAGAAGGCCGATATAATAACAAACACAGCAATCACACGAATCACATAAAAGCCATCCTAAAAAAGTAAGTTTTAAGGGACGATTTAAAAACTCTAAGGGATTCTGCATTCCTAAACTCAGAGGGCAGGGAATTCCACAATTTAGGAGCCAAAGAAGAAAAAGCCCGATCACCCATAGTTTTTAGCCGTGTTGTTTGGACAGTTAAAAGACCAGCTTCAGAAGATCGTAAAGCACGTGTAGGAGTGTAGGGGGTTAAGAGCTCATACAAATATTGAGGGGCCAAGTTATTCAAGGCCTTATAGGTGAGCATGAGAATTTTAAAATCAATACGAAAACTAACAGGAAGCCAGTGCAATTTTTCCAGGATTGGTGTAATGTGCTCCCTTGCACTGGTCCCAGTCAGAACCCTAGCAGCCGAATTTTGTACCAACTGTAATTTACTTAGGGTAGCTTTAGAAACCCCAGCCAGCAATGCATTACAATAATCAATACGTGAAAAAAACAAAAGTTTTGATTAACTTTTCAGCCACAGAGAAGGTCAACATAGAGCGTAATTTGGCAATGTTTCTGAGATGAAAAAAATGATGTTTTGACTGTGTTACGAACATAAATTGGCGTCAAATATCACCCCCAGATTTTTTAGTTTAGTTTGCAATTTCAAAGCAGAGTCATCCACACTTAAGGTTATGGACTCTGCTTTACGCAACTGATGAGGTGAACCAATAAGCATCACTTCTGTCTTAGCACTGTTTAGACAGAGAACATTTTCAGACATCCATTTCTCAGTAAAACATTGAGAAAGAAAAGACACAGGCATATTGACATCAGGTTTTGAATGTATATAGATCGGCATAAGTGTCATCGGCATAAAAGTGAAAGTTAAGACCAAGTGTTCTTAAAAGTTGGCCAAATGGAAAAATGTAAATACTAAAAAGTAACGGGCCCAAAACTGATCCCTGGGGAACCCCAGAGTGCACCACACCGAGCTCAGATTTGCAATCACCCATCACAACAAACTGCTTGCGACCAGAGAGGTAGGACTTAAACCACTCTAATGCAGAATCAGAAACTCCAAAGATGGTCTCTAAGCGGTTGATTAAAATAGTGATCTATAGTGTCAAAAGCGGCACTAAGATCAAGAAGAATAAGTATAGATAGACGGCCAGAATCAGATACCATTAACAAATCATTAGTCACTTTGATCAGCGCTGTCTCAGTGCTGTGCAGTTTCCGAAATCCAGACTGAAGTGGCTCAAAAAGATCATTAGAGGAGAGATGAGAAAGTAGTTGAGAAGCCACTGTTTCTTTTAAAATTTTGGCGAGGAATGGAAGATTAGAGATGGGACGAAAATTATTCAGATTATCAAAGTCCATGTTGTTAGTTTTTGGTACAGGGGTGACAGCAGCAATTTTAAGTGCTGCTGGCACAACTACATTACACAGAGAGTTATTGATAATTCTCAAAACAACAGGAGAGAGGGAATCAAAACATGATTCAAAAAGACAAGATGGTATCGGATCAACTCTTGAAGTTGAGGCTTTCAGTTTTGAAACCATATTACACAGAGACTGGGAGTCATGAATTGCAAAGTTAGAGAGAGAGACACCAGAAAATGCAAAAGTATTTGAGGAGGAGGCAGCAACGGTATGAGTGGCAACAATGTGGTTACGTATATTGTCAATTTTGGTGCTAAAAACTCCAAAAACATATTACAAAGGTGAGTTGAAGCAGGAACATTAGAGAGGCTGTGATCTTTAAGCAGCTTGATTGAGTGAAAAAGTTTTTTAGGGTTTCTCTGATTGCTGACAATTATCTGAGAAAGATAAACAGATCTAGCTGACACAATTTCAGCCTTATATTTGAGTAAGCTGTCTTTCCAGGCCTGGTGATGTAGAGTTAAACCTGATATGCGCCATCTACGCTCCATTTTGCGACACAAAGTCTTCATAGCATGCAGATCATCATTGTACCATGGAGCGGAGCGTGCAAAAGAAACAGATCGTGATTTCAAGGGAGCCAGCGTGTCCAGGCCAGACAACAGTACAGAATTCAGCACAGAAACGTTGTCATCCAGATCATCAGATAGAGATTCACAGTTTAAAAGAGAGTCAATAAAATCAGAAAAATCAGAGGGCTCAATAGATCTAGGAGAACCACAAACCCGACTTGGTCCAAACACAATGACCTCAGTTTTTTCTTCGTTTAATAAAAAAAAAAAATTAACAGACATCCAGGCTTTAATATCCTTTAGACATTCAAGTAGGGGGGTCAAGGAACTATTTGCGTTTCGTCTCAAGGGTAAATATATTTGCGAGTCATCCGCATAAAAAACAAATGTTTTTTTAAATGTTTCCGAGAGGGAGAAGGTACAACGAGAACAATAGTGGCCCTAGAACTATATATATAAAGAATATATATATATATATATATATATATATTTAATAAATTAGTACTTTTACTCTGCAATGATGCATTAACACTAGAACCACGGGGTTAAATTTTCCCATGGCTGTTTTTCAAATGTACATATATTTTTAACAGAGGTGTAAAGTCCAGGGGTCAGAAAGTAAAAGTCCTGCCATATGTTTATTCCACCCATTAACTCAGCCAGCTGATTTCACTAATTAGTTCTATCTCCTTGCTGAAAAACTGTGTTAATTAACAAATCCAGGTGATTGGAACAAAATACTGAGGAGGACTTTTACTTTCTGAACCTGGACTTTACACCTCTGATTTTCAATAAACTTCCAAGTCTCCCAGTCATTGACTTTTACTAAAAATTGTGTTATTTACGATCCCCTGTTGTCAATTTTTTGTTGTTGATATAACCAGATTAAAACGGGGCATGTATACCTATAAGTGCCAGCAGGTCAAATTGACCTATATAATGCCTTTATTTTTGCATTGTCATTTTCGCGCCGCTTATGTTTTAACATTCAATGCTACTAGGCAACACCTTTCACCCACTAAGATAGCGCTAATCAATTTTAGTCACAATGGATCATTTTACACCACCCAAATATGTATTTATTTCCTTCTAATTCTTGTCGTCATTGGCGGCTGGTTTAGCCTATATTCAGTGATTAATGTAGCCTGCTTAAAATAGCCTTGAACATAAAACAACAGGACACTTTTTTTTTTAAACCATATCAAAACTGTTGTCGAGTGCATGGGTAAATTTTACCCGCTGGCGGTTTTTGTGTTAAAATAATTAAAAGTGACAGTAAAGACTTTTATAATGTTACAACAGATTTATGTTACAAATAAATGCTTTTCTTTCTATTTATCAAAGAATCCTAAAAAAATTACAAGGGGTTCGACAAAATCATTAAAGTCCCCATGAAATGAAAATGGACAATTCTTATTTTTGATGGAGAATTGCACTGTTTATTATAAATGATTTATCCATGGCATGCACTTATACAGTATATATAACTTTTAATTCATGTGCCCTCGTAATTTTTAATCAAAATAACGTCCCCTCCTCCTTGCAGCAACATCTCTTCTCTTGACACGTGTGTGAGACAACCTGTCACTCACATGAGAAGGCAGCGATATCAAGCAACAACAATCAAATGACCCAATCAATTCCCAATGTCCTGCCCTACATTTTATCATGTTCACTCGGATATACATCACAATAGGGAAGAAAAGACAATCACAACTCTGTTTCATGCAGACTTTAAGCAGCACAACTGTTTTAATCTCTGATAATAAGAAAAATAATATAATAAGCACCAAAATCAGCATATTAGAATGATTTCTGAAGGACCATGTGACATTGAAATTCACCTTTACCATCATAAGAATACATTACAATTTAAAATATAGTAAAACAGAAAACAGTTTTAAATTGTAATAAAATTTCACAATATTACTGTTTTTACTGTATTTTGATCAAATAAATGCAGGCTTAGTAACCATAAGAGACTTCTTTCCAAAACAATAAAAAATCTTACCAACGCAAACTTTGAAACGGTAGTGCATGTTCCGAATTATTCTGTATTTTATATTAATATTTTAATATTTCTATGTGCCATCCATGCCCACTCACACTGTTAATAAATGATGTTAGCCAAGGAGGCATATATCCTCTGAATATATAAGCATGACTGAAACTGATACATTGTTTTTGCAGGTAGGATTTGAGCGACCTGGTGTGGCAGCCTCTGTTATTATCTACCTCGCCTATGATGGTAGTTGGCATGGGGAAAATTGCAGGAAAACAGTGACCATTGAACTGTGTGACACCACTGGAAAAAATCACATGCTTGGTAACACTCATAATATCTATAATTTGTTTGGGAAAGTTTGTAATCTTTGCATTATAGTATTTGTGTGACTTTTACATGTTGTCTGTGCTTGTCCACAGGTTTGTACGAGCTGTCATGTCAGCGTAACCCCCTAGTGGTGAATGTGACTCATAACCTGAATGTGCCGTTCTACCAGACTTCATCAGTGCAGCTGAACTTCTCCTCCTCTCAAGTGGCGGTGCTGGCGGTTGCATTGCGTACATCTTGTCACTTCAGCGCCTTTGCCCTGACCGGGTGCGCTGAGGGTGGGGTCTCCCACGACTTACAAGCACAAATACATACTTACACGTTTACACAACATATTCACTACTGTTCAAATGTTTGGGGTCGGCAAGATTTTTTTTTAATGTTTTTGAAAGAAGTCTCTTATGCTTACCAAAGTTGCAGGTGTTTGATCAAAAATATTAAATAGCTGTTTTCTATTTTAATATTTTGTTTTACATGTTATTTATTCTTGTGATGGCAAAGCTAAATTTTCAGCAGCCATTACTCAAGTAGTCACACGATCCTTCAGAAATCATTTGAATTTTTTGATTTTGTGCTCAAGTAGCATTTCTTATTATTGTCAATGTTGAAAACAGTTGTGCTGCTCCCTATTTCTTGTTGAAACCAGGATACATTTTTTTAAAGATTATTTTATGAATAGAAAGTTAAAAAGAACAGCATTTATTTGAAATAGAAATCTTTTGTAACATTATAAATGTTTTTACTGTCAGTTTTGATCAGTGCAATGCATCGTTGCTTAATAAAAGTATTACTTTATAAAAAATAAAAAAATAAATAAAAAAAATCTTACTCGCCCCAAAAGTTTGAATGGTAGGGTACAAAGTAGAAGATATAATACATCACAGAGACATAATAGACAGATACATCATACACAAGTAAAAATAGAAAAATCCTTCATGTTTGACAATGGAAATGATTTCTGTCTATGTCTGCCAATAATAATCAAGCTTAATATGTGTTTTTCTCACTCAGATGTGTGCGTAGGCTGTGCAGTACCGAGTCATGCAGCCCTCTGAGCATCGAACACGCTTCAATCCGCTGTACTCCAGTGTTAGACTCTAAACACTGCTCTGTTTCTTGTCATCGTGGCTATACGCTCACTGTTCTCCATGGCCAGGGCCTTCCTTCTCATCAAGTGTGTACAAGAATTGTTAACTGCCTATTTCTCTCTCTCTCAACAAATGAGGTCTCTTTGATGTCTAGTTTCTCCTAAATAGCAGTAAGATTATATGAGAACAAATTGAGACGTTTTCTGCAGAGAAGAGATGCACAAGACATGACATGCACAAGAATATTCTGATATTAATTGGATTAGTAATTTTCCAGTTTCCAGCTTCAGCTTCACTAAACCTTCCACTGCTAAACCACTGTTCCCTTTCGTAGTCACTTCGAGTTACGTCGAAATGACAACGAAATGGGGGTTTTGCTTAGAAGCCTATCCCCTTCAAGTGTTAAAAAACGAGCCAAAGGCAAAGAAATGCCATGGGTCTGCATAATTTGCATAGCGTAACTCCGCCCCACCTCGTGGGTATATAAGGAAGAACGCTGGCAGAATGCAGACATGTTTCTGCTTCGGAGCCAAGAGGTCCTCTTCACTCCTACAGCCTGAATTCTCTCTGAGTGTCATCGAGTATCCTATGAGACGAGCAGCTCTCCAGTCTGTGTTGGTGCAAAGGCGATTTCCAGCGAGTTTCACATTCCTGCCTGCTGATCTGTGCAGTGGTCTGCATCCAGCGTGTGTGTTTCTCACTGGCCGCTTCAGCACAGGCTGCTGAACGTCCTTTCACAAAAGAGCTTGCACAGGCACGTCTTTTTCAAGATGTTTCGCCCGTGTATTTCTGGGTGCGGTCGTTCCGTCTCATTATCTGATGGGCATGATCGTTGTCTTGCGTGTTTTGGGGCTTAGAACACGCAAAGGCAGCTTTCATGGATGAGTCATGTTCTCACTGCGGGAACATGACCATCGCTGCGCTAAGATCGAGACTCTGTGACCTTATTAAAGGTAGAGTCCCCTCTGCCACACCCCTTTCTACCCCCTCCTCGAGAGCTGGTACTTCGGCTGGTTGGCCATGGTGATCTGAGGGTTATGGTGTGGAACTCTGCCCCGACGATGCTTCCTCGGGCCACACCCCCCTCACCAGCGCAGCAACCCGCGAGCACATCGAGTGCAGCCGCGGGGCCGCCTTCGGATGTGCCTCGTGTCTCATTCGGTGCTCCAGATGATAAGGCGATGTCGATCGCCGCATCACGAGGAGAGCTGGAATTTTCTGTGGATGAGGATTCGGATGTGCTGCCGCCCCCCGGGGTCGCGGCATTGTCCGAGTCCGACCCGGAACTAACAGCTATGCTTTCCCAGGCCGCCGCGAGTGTCGGGTTAGCGTGGTACTCTCCACCCTCTCCTGAACGCTCGCGGTTGGATGATTGGTCCTTCGGGGCTGCACGCGCTGACTCTCGTCGGCGCACCCCCCCAGTTCCTTTCTTCCCGGAAGTGCATGAGGAGTTCACGAGCTCCTGGAAGCCCCCGTTGTCTTCCCGTGATCGCTCTGCGACCTCCTTCGCCTTCTCTGCCCTTGATGAGGCCGGGGTGAAAGGGTACACTGGGGTTCCCCCTGTCGAACGCTCTGTTGCGATGCAACTGTGTCCGCAGAGTGCTTCGATGTGGCGTGGTGACCCAAAGCATCCCTCCAAAGCCTGTAGGTTTTCGTCTACCTTGGTGGCGAATTCCTACAGAGCTGCGGGGCAGGCCGCCGCCTCACTGCATGCCATGGCCATCCTCCAGATCTACCAGGCCAGGATGCTCAAGGACATGCACGAGGCCAGAGCTGACCAAGAGCTCTTTGATTAGCTGCGCGCCGCCACCGACCTTGCTCTCCGTGCGACGAAAGTGACCGCACGCTACCTTGGTCAGGTGATGTCCACAGCTGTGGTCCAGGAAAGACACCTCTGGCTTAACCTGGCCGATATGCGGGATGCTGAGCGGACACGTCTCCTCGACTCCCCTATATCCCAGGCAGGCCTTTTCGGCGGCGCGGTCGAGGACTTCGCCCAAAAGTTCTCGGCCGGCCAGAGACAGACTGAGGCTGTTAAGCACATACTGCCCCGGTGGCCAGCTGCTGCCTCCACCCAGCCGCCGGCTCAGTTCACTCAGTCTGTTCGCCGCCGAGGGCGCCCCCCTGCAACTTCCATCCCTCCCGCTCGGCCCCAGCAGCAGCCTTTACCATGCCGTGCCGGGGAGGAGGTCGCAGGAAGGCGCCCCAGTCCGCTTTCTGATGCGGACAGCTCAGAGATGGCCTACAGTTCTGCCAAGGAGGTGGTAGCAGGGCCACTCCTTCCCCTGGTGGAGGGGCGGGGGAGAATTTCTCCTTGCCGCTGGGCGGACGGTCAGTGGCACCCTTATGCGGCTAAGGACAGAACTAACACCCCCATCTCTGAGCCCCCAGAGTGCGCGGATGACAGTGTGTGCCGCTTACGAGCCTCACCACTCTCGTTCCCCTCTGTCACAGAGTTCTCGGATGACAGTGCGCACCGCTTACGAGCCTCGCCACTCGTGTCCCCCTCTATCGCCAGACCCCTGTCAGACGAGACCCCAGTGGAACGCACGTCCTTCCCTGGTCTCCTCTTTCAGGACGCAGTCTATGCTTCCACACTGGGACGCTATGCCTCCCCTAGTCTCAGCCTCAGACGTCACGCCCACGGAACGTTGGCTAAACGTCTGATGCATATGGTACACTTAACTGGAAACACTTCAGGAATGTCGAAGTCGTCATCTGATTGGTTGAATTTTATCGGATTTCCGGGGGTTGCGAGTGTCGCGTTTATTTTCGGTCCGCCGGGAAACAAAGTGCAGACGTGTGATTGCGGAAGAAAAACTGTTGTGTTTACATGAGTGACAATGAGCATTTATCAAGATCAGCTAAACGTAGGATTCTCAAAAGTATGCGAGGTTCACGGCATAGACTCTTGAAGTTTTCTTCTCCTTCTTTGATTTTCTATGCTGACTGACTTGTTGCACGCCGGTCTGTTGTTGTGGGGACATTTCCACGCACCGAAACGTGACGCTGAACGAAACGAACTGTAATTGGTTATTTTACATGTCGGTCAAATGGCCTTATGGGCGGGCCTTGGCCAAAGAAAGCTGCTATGAATTCCAGACCTTCAGCCGTCAGTCTGAAGGTCTGGCTACGCGAGACTATGCCTCCCCAGTCCGAGCCAGTCATACCGCCTTGCTGTCTCACCGAGGGTACGTCTGTGGTCCCCATGACCCCGCTGGTACAGTTTTTGGGAACCTGGCTTCAGCTTCCCAACCTGTCCCGCTGGGTTGCCAGGACCATCAGGCTCGGCTATGCGATTCAGTTCGCACGATCTCCTCCCCGCTTCCGGGGAGTCTGCTACACTATGGTCGGTGGCTATGCCCCTGTCATGCGTGTGGAAGTCGCAACCTTGTTGGCGAAAGGTGCGGTCGAGATTGTCCCTCCAGCCGAAATGAAGTCCAGGTTCTACAGCCCCTAATTCATTGTACCGAAGAAATCCGGTGGGTTACGGCCAATCCTGGACCTGCGCGTTTTGAACCGATCCCTTCACAGGCTTCCGTTCAGAATGCTCACGGCCAAACGCATTTTTTAATGTGTTCAGCCAATGGATTGGTTTACAGCGATCGACCTGAAGGACGCCTACTTTGTCTCCATTCTTCCTCGACACAGACCGTTTCTTCGGTTTGCTTTGGAGGGGAAGGCATATCAGTATGCGGTTCTCCCCTTCGGGCTAGCCCTGTCTCCTCGCGTCTTTACGAAGGTCGTCGAGGCAGCCCTTGTGCCGCTTCGGCTACACGGGGTTCGCGTCCTGAACTATCTCGGCGACTGGCTAATCCTAGCTAACTCTCGAGACCAGGTTTGTGAATACAGGGACCTAGTGCTTCGGCACCTAGCTCGTCTGGGCCTTCGGGTCAACTGGGAGAAGAGCAAACTTTGCCCCGTGCAGAGGATCTCTTTTTTCGGTATGGAAATCGACTCGGTCGCCATGTCTGCGCAGCTTACGAGCAAGCGTGCGCAGTCACGGCTGACTTGCCTGCGTCAAATCCAGAGCAAGAGTGCGGTTCCACTGAAACTATTTCAGAGGCTCCTGGGGGTTCCGAGTTGCTGGCAGTACGATTGGCTCTGCACAGCTTCCATGCATTGCTCAAGGACCAGCACGTACTAGTCCGTTCAGACAATACCGCAACAGTAGTGTACATCAACCATCAGGGTGGTCTACGCTCCCGCCGTATGTCGCAACTCGCTCGCCACCTCCTCTTATGGAGTCAGAAGCATCTGAGGTCGCTTTGTGCTATTTACATTCAAGGAAACCTGAACTGTGCAGCCCACGAGCTCTCACGGATTCAGCCCCTCTCCGGCGAATGGCGACTCCATCCCCAGTCGATTCAGCTGATTTGGGAACAGTTCGGGGACGCTCAGGTAGATCTGTTTGCCTCCCACGACTCTTCCCATTGCAGCCTGTTTTATTCCCTGACTGAGGGCACGCTAGGCACGAATGCACTGGCGCAGGGCCTCCGTATGCATTTCCCTCAGTGAGCCTTCTTGCACAGACCCTCTGCAAGATCAGGGAGGACGAGGAGCAGGTCATTTTGGTTGTGCCCCACTGGCCCACCCGGACCTGGTTCTCCGAACTCCTACTCCTCGCGACAGGACCTCCCTGGCCAATTCCTCTGAGGAGGGACCTCCTTTCTCAGGGACGGGGCACTCTATGGCACCCTCGACCCGATCTTTGGAACCTCCACGTGTGGCTCCTGGACGAGACGCTGGAACTCCGAGCTCAGTCTTGGCTCCTCAGCAGGGAAACATGTCTGCATTCTGCCAGCGTTCTTCCTTATATACCCACGAGGTGGGGCGGAGTTACGCTATGTAAATTCCGCGGACCCATGGCATTTCTTTGCCATTGGCTCATTTTTTAACACTCAAAGGTGATAGGCTTCTAAGCGAAACCCCCATTTCGTCGTCATCTCGACGTAACCGAGACGTTTCCATGACCCAAAATTTTGATTAATGCAGCCAAATGCCAGCTGTCTTATTCAGATTTCTAGGAATATTGGCTTAATCGGGTGATGTAAACACCTTATTCAGAAAGTCCACCATAACTGGAGGCTCATTTATATATATGCATGTCCAAACAAAGATAATTCGGGGTGATATTAGATATAGACAGTGTTTATTCAATAGCTTGACTTTTTTGGATTAAGAAACAGTTTGCAAACATTAAAAGGAAGGTCGTGGCCTACTTTTCTTGTAAAAAGTTTTTCACATGTCTTGTGACCTATACATTTTCCAAATCATCATGCTCCTGTTAAGGTGATTAAATTATTGTGGAGAGCAGGAATGCACGTCTTTCAATCTATTCAGATTGCACATTGTCATTGTCTCAAATTGTGCTCACATTGCAGAGATTCCAAAGTCAACATTTCTCATCAAATTATCTAAAATGCTGTGTCATGTTGTCTAATGAACCTGTCATAAACAACGACTTTACAAGTGGTTGTATTTCTGTCTGTTTTGTCCTGTCTTCAGACGGAAGTGGAGCTGTTTTGTGTGCATGGAGTTTGGGACCGTGAAGTGGGCTGTCAGCCAGTGGACTGCGGCCCACCCCCTCAGTCACATGTCTACTTTGCCTCCTTCTTATGTCCCTGGGGCACCACATTCGGCAAGCAGTGCAGCTTTTCCTGTAACGCCCCGGCAATCCTGCAAGGTGAGGATGGGAACTAGGCTATAATGTGAGACCTGAGGGTTTTTGGACCCACTTACATTCAGTGCATGTCTTCTGAGGCTTCCTTTCTTTCTAAAATAATAAGACTGTAAGTCAATAACAGTAGATTTGCGGATGACATGAACCTTTCTTGTGTGTTTCTTGTACACTGGAAACAAATACAACTATTAATTGTGCTTATGAGCATTCCTAAGGTCCTTTTAACTCACAACTAGTAATTAGGCCAGCAAGTCATATCATATCATATCATATTTTAACCTATCCTGTACTGTCCTGTCCTGTCCTGTCCTGTCCTGTCAGAAAGTCCACCACAAAAATGAAACATCTTTATGCTGCATGATGTCCTGTCCTGTCCTGTCCTGTCCTACTGTCCTACTTACAGTGTTACTTTCATATTCCCAGCATGCATTGCTGCATGTATAAATTACATGGTTACATGGCATGATATGATATATTATATGATACTAGTAAACATTAGTAAACTACATTAGTTAACATGAACTAATAATGAACTGTACTTCTACAGCATTCATTAATCTATTTTAATGTTAAACATTTACTAATACATTATTAAAATCAAAAGTTGTGTTTGTTAATGCACTGTGAACTAACAAACAAACAATGAACAGCTGAATTTTTTTAACTAATGTTAACAAAGATTAATAAATATAATAAATGTATTGCTCATTGTTAGTTCATGTTAGTTAATACATTGACTAATGTTAACAAACGAAACTTTATTGTAAAGTGTTACATAAGATATAATATGATATGATATTATTTTTTATTATTCTTTATTATTCTTAAGGATTATTATTTTTTTGATGTTTTCTCTTTTCATTTTATACTATCGTTGATTGCATCTCTTTTTTAGCATGATGTGGTATTCAGAGGTCTTTTTAAAATATTGATGTGTTTGTTGATTGTCACAGCTATTATGGTTAATGTGTAAAATGGTATTTATGTATATAGTAAACAAAAATGAAACATCTTAATGCTGCATGATGTTCTCTCATTTAGAGGCAAATAGTGATTTTAAAGCTGTACATGATACAGATCATGAGAAGCCACAATGATAGTCAAAGATCTGCATGTGTTAAGAAAACCCCAATCAGTCATCACCTAGATTTTTTTCATTTCTTTTTTTTTAAACACTAAAAAGCTAAATATTTAGATTTTTTGTTGTTGTTTGTGTGTGCTTATATATGCATACAATATACTCATTTGTGTGTCAGTGTTGCTCTTGTACTGATTCAGGAACTTTGCATCGGTCTGGCTGTGGTTCCAGCCCTCTTTCATGGCTGTGTAAATAGGAAAGTAATCCTGAGCTGCAGTAGAACAGCACACAGGTGAAGATAGGAAACATGCAAGTAGGCGAGAACAAGAGTGCATTTCATCCCATACTACTGAAGCCCCCAGAGAGCTAATTTCAGGCAGTGTAGAGCAGGGTGGCACCTGGCCCTCTCGCCCCTTCATGGGTAGCAGGAGCTCTGCTAGGGCAATTAAGGTAACTCAGGGGTCGAGGTCCTCACACTTTCACTATTTGTTTTAAATGCAGGCCTTTGATGAATCGGTCCAAATTATTTCTTTGGCAGGGAGTGGTGCAGTCTGTGGACAGTGGCTTCACTGGAAGGTCCAGAACATTGCATCACTGAGTAGCTATGCTTATTGGTCTTGATGGGAATGTTCTTGTACTGTAGTGTGTTACAGTGATGGGCTGTATTGCTCCATTGGGAGACCTTTTAAAATCTATTCACGACTTGACATTAATTGGAACACACAACAGTAATGCAGTGATTTATTGACTTAGTGAGAGCCTCCCCCTTTTTTTTTTTTTTTGGAGTAGCGCAAGCTGGAACTTTTCATGCATGTTGGAAAAACGCAGTTTGCAGCCATCTTTGGTGTATTGCTAAATTTAATCTTGGCTACAAAGTAGGCAGACAGCTTAAAAGCTTTGCAATGGTATAATTATATTTTTTTGACCATTAAACTTGCTTTAGAACTTTAACTTTAAATATAATTAGATATGTTACAATAATAGTACAATAAGAGAGTCCTATATCACATGGGCCTTAGGTGCCAATGGACCATGTGCACATAAGGCATTTTTGTTTAAATGTAGTGCAATACTTCTCTTCTGAGTTAATAGAAACAGAATGTTTTTTAAATATATGACTTTTCATATAACTGGAAAACATGTAGACCTACACAAAGGTATAATTCAAAGCTCAATTAGAGTCGTTGTGAAGCTTGTCCTATTCTTGTCCTATTTATTAATGTATTATGCATTATAATGCTTTTTATTCATAAAATAATTTTAATACACCTCTTCTATGATAAACATGCTTAAATATATGTTAAAAATATTTTTTTGTGTGTGTGCATAATGTAAAATATGTCAGGGTGGTACAACTGTCCAGATATAAAGAATAACGTATTAAAAAACTTCAATAAAAGAATGATAAAAAAGAGAAAAAAATGTATTTAGCATAATCTTTTAAAAATCTTTTAACAAAACTAATTCACTGTTTATCATTGTTTGTACACTAAATGAAAGTCATAGGTGCGACCCACAAAATATATGTGGTGCAACATAATGCAGAAACATACTAAAAAACAAACAAACAAATAAATAAATAAATAATTTTAATTAAAAAAAATTATGATTAAGCCGTACTCCCAGAAATAATAGAACTGACTTTCGAAAAGAGCTCGGCCAATTATCTACTGATGGTCTTAGAGAAGACACTGATTGTTCCATTTTAATGCAGTTTTCTTATCAGAATCTGTTTTTCAGGAGAAAGTGACACATTGGTTTGTCTTGAGGATGGACTATGGTCATACCCAGAGGCTTACTGCAAGATTGAGTGCCCGGATCCACCTTCCATACCCAATGCCACGCTACTAGTTCCTCAGTGTCGTGGAGGCAGGCATGATGTGGGTACTGTCTGCCGCTACAAATGCAACCCCGGCTATTACATCACTGGCACTCTCAACAAAAAGCCAAGAAAGTGAGTTGCAACCTGTACATTTTGATCTGATTTTTAGGCATAGGTTACTGTGTTGACAAATTTTGAAGGGCATCTAGGGTCAAATTTTGAAGGGTTTCCAGCATCTAGGTTGCTCACATGGTTCTAATAAGATCAAAATCTCACTCCATGTGTTTCAGCGATGGAGTCAGCAGTGTACTTTGATGAATGGTCTGATGACATGTTGTTTTGGTATTCCATCCAATCAAGCTATAGCATATAGCGTATTTTAGCACATCTGAGGGGACTAGCGTTTGCACCTGCCTCGTCTTTATGAGTTATTAAAATGGCTGGTAAAATACCTCTGTGTCTTTTAACTGCTTTTAATTGGACATTAATACCAGAAGCGATAGCCAACATGTCTCATAAAGCCATTTAAATGATCCTGTTTATTAAGACCATTGGCATGTTTGCTCTAAAAGGCATTTCATTAGGAAGGTTCAGAAAATGGTTTATGACAGTCTAAAGAGAGGTGTTATGCTATTATCAAGGTAGTTTTAGCCTGTGCTTCCGTATGATCTTTCTCAATGAACACTACACCCTAATTTATTTCTTCATAATTTATTGGCTATTTAGAAGTACCAGATGGTTTGTCACATGGGTTAGATGTGAATAAATCCCCTGTGGCTGGAGGGGAATGTCATCCAAGAAACATAGTAATTGGTGAATTCGTGTTGTGCGAAAATTCACACCAGAATCAGATCGGGATCTACAATTAAAATTTCACAGTGTGCTTACTGTAATGGTTTAATTGGCTGTCTCAAAACACTAGTGAGTAACCTATCTATAGAGCTTTTTGAGGGATCAAATGTGTATTCACAAAATTAAAGCTTTATGTAAACAATAAAAGTATGATTCAGTATTAAGTACTGAAAATGATTACAGTTTTTCTCATTCGCTTTGGTGGATTTCTCTGATCACAACTGAAATTCTCAAAACTACTTATTCAACCTCCACATCATCTAATCCCTTGTGCAGATCAAATTTAACAAATTGCAAATGCGTTGGTACATTCATGCAATTGAATATGTTCAATTGTCTACTGTTTCCTACATTATTAATTGCTTATGTCATGTTGATCAAAATATATTATACTGGTTCTCTGTTGAATAGTCTTACCCCTCAAAACATCTCGGCATTAGTTCCTTGCATAACTCATTAAATGCAGAATGGTTGAACTAGTTGTCGTAAACTGTCAAGCATATTTTTTATACATTTCTATTAGACTTTTTTTTTTTTTGTAAATGTGTCCTGAATTTATGAATTGTGGAAAAAATTGTGTGAATTTCTCTAATAGAAATGTAAGGGAAAAGTAAAGGACTGGATCAACCAATGATCAACCAGTTCTCTAAAATAGCTCAGAGTTGCATCTCATAAAGCTTCATTCGGCAAGCATATACTGTATAGAACACAACAGTGTATAGTGTTACAAATTCTGACAATGGAAGAACAACAAGGAAACAGACAGGGTCAACAGCCAGAAAGAAGAAGAGGAGTAAGGATGCATGGTGGAAGGGTATGGAGGCAAAACAGTGGAAGAGGTAGAAAATGGCCAGACTGTAGACACGTTTCTGAGGGGTTACTGTTGTGGACCATGTTCTCAAACATGACCTATAGCGGGTTGCAAGATGCAGAATGTTGGGAGAATCATTTCTCAGAATCAAACGTTTGTATGTAATTAGACAATCTTCACTATACTATAACACTATACCCAGCAAGCAATTTTGCGTCTAATAGCCGTCAAAACACAGCCCAGACGTCTAGGCTAAAACAAGGCTAAATTTGGGCTGTCAGTGAAAATCTAAGACGTCTCACCATAGCCCAAGAATAGACGTCATCACTTAGACGTTTATTGAACGACTACATTTTTATGTCTAATAGACAGTGCATATGGGTCTAGGCTAAAACCAAGGGGGTAATCCATCGACCGTTAGCATTTCCATTGACTCCCATTCATTTTGGCGTCACTTTGACAGCGAATAACTTTACATCTGAGGCGTTTAAAGACTCCATTTGTCCATTATTTATTTCTAAAGAAACACGACAATGTATAAATAATGGACAAATGGAGTCTTTAAACGCCTCAGATGTAAAGTTATTTGCTGTCATCACGGCATCTGCCAAATAAGAACAAAATAATTTGCACAAGAAAAGCATTGTTGAGTTTAACCTCAAGTGTGCATGGACTAATACATTCACCTGTGTGTTTTATACAGCCAATAATTTGTATTTTTATGCTGCATTATAAAATTAATTTGAACATTTCAAACTTGAATGAGGGCATTTTGAATGAAACTTCATCTTATTGTGCTTGTACAATAACAAATATTATTCTACTCTATTAGCTTATGCTCTCTCTGTATGTAACAAGCCATTGTTCAGACAAATTCAATATTATATTTCAAATCAATGATGGACTTTGTCAAAGATGAGAGCTTTAGTGAGGAAATGCTATTTTCATATCATAATGATCTAAAGAAAAGACTAATATATATTTGGGGCTTTCATAACACTTTATAATAGGTTTGGATTCAGATAATTCGAGTTTAAGGGCACATGGAAACATGGAGTTAGAGTACACGTGCATGTACCATAATACACTGTTACCCACTAAAATGTCACGATTGCAACAACACATAACAAATAATTTAGCTAAAAATTAGCACATGTCAAAACGAAAACACAGATACTTACAAGACAAAAGTAGGAATGTCTTTTGCTTTTTCTCTTCGACCGACTGCTGAATGCAACGCTCTGACTCGTTTACAATGTTTCAAAATGGTGGAAATGCGCTATCAAGAGACTATCAAGTCTCGTTGCCATCTAGCGGTTGAGAAATGTAATTGCATTTTTATTTAATTTAAAATGAAAGAAAGACAGTCAAATAATATCGTAGATTTTTTTAATGAATGTGTGGCAGCAAACATGAAGCTGTTTGGGCGAAAAACATGTAAACAATTTTAAGACTATTTTGGCTATAGCCGTAAACGTAGACACTGATTGCCTCGATCTCGCCGGTGGGCTAAAAGCAGACTGCACATAGCCCGTCCAATTCAGAGCTAAATCGTGACTACAGATCGACAATGTCATGAAATTACACTGGCACCTTGTATATATTATTACTAATGCGAACATGATGGGATATCAACCATCTCGTGCGTTGCCTGCCCAACAATTAATTAAAACGAATTTGAATCAGTTTCGACTATAAGAGGGCTACAAAAGCCGGCTGATATACGAGCTAGATCGTGTCTACAAACAGCCTCGACATAGAACATGTCAGAAATGAAACCAAACACCTTGTAATCGCAGTTGACTTTGCTTACATGATGGAATATCATACATTTAGCAAGTTATTTTGGAAAAAATTACATTTAACCAGATTCAATGTTATTTTGGCTAAAAGTGGGTTACACCTAGCCGGACTATATCGGGTCTATATTTAACCGAGACGTTGAAATGACGGCTATTGCTTGCTGGATACTTACTGTTATAGTTATAACAGTAAGTATATAGTATACTTAGTATACTGTTATGTGTGTGTGTGTAGTCTTGTCTCTTTCTTTATATAGTAATGACATTGTACTTTGACAGACCAACAGTAAAAGTGTAACCAGTCTCTTGTAATTATTATCCCACATAGAGTAATGCGTAAATTTGTACTGTTGAAATGTATATACACTCACCTAAAGGATTATTAGGAACACCATACTAATACTGTGTTTGACCCCCTTTCGCCTTCAGAACTGCCTTAATTCTGCATGGCATTGATTCAACAAGGTGCTGAAAGCATTCTTTAGAAATTTTGGCCCATATTGATAGGATAGCATCTTGCAGTTGATGTAGATTTGTGGGATGCACATCCAGGGCACGAAGCTCCCGTTCCACCACATCCCAAAGATGCTCTATTGGCTTGAGATCTGGTGACTGTGGGGGCCATTTTAGTACAGTGAACTCATTGTCATGTTCAAGAAACCAATTTGAAATGATTTGAGCTTTGTGACATGGTGCATTATCCTGCTGGAAGTATCCATCAGAGGATGGGTACATGGTGGCCATAAAGGGATGGACATGGTCAGAAACAATGCTCAGGTAGGCCGTGGCATTTAAACGATGCCCAATTGGCACTAAGGGGCCTAAAGTGTGCCAAGAAAACATCCCCCACACCATTACACCACCACCACCAGCCTGCACAGTGGTAACAAGGCATGATGGATCCATGTTCTCATTCTGTTTACACCAAATTCTGACTCTATCATCTGAATGTCTCAACAGAAAGCGAGACTCATCAGACCAGGCAACATTTTTCCAGTCTTCAACTGTCCAATTTTGGTGAGCTCTTGCAAATTGTAGCCTCTTTTTCCTATTTGTAGCGGAGATGAGTGGTACCCGGTGGGGTCTTCTGCTATTGTAGCCCATCTGCCTCAAGGTTGTGCGTGTTGTGGCTTCACAAATGCTTTGCTACATACCTCGGTTGTAACGAGTGGTTATTTCAGTCAAAGTTGCTCTTCTATCAGCTTGAATCAGTCGGCCCATTCTCCTCTGACCTCTAGCATCAACAGGGCATTTTTGCCCACAGGACTGCCACATACTGGATGTTTTTCCCTTTTCACACCATTATTTGTAAACCCTAGAAATGGTTTTGCGTGAAAATCCCAGTAACTGAGCAGATTGTGAAATACTCAGACCTTGCACCAACAACCATGCCACGCTCAAAATTGCTTAAATCACCTTTCTGTCCCATTCTGACATTCAGTTTGGAGTTCAGGAGATTGTCTTGATCAGGACCACACCCCTAAATGCATTGAAGCAACTGCCATGTGATTGGTTGATTAGATAATTGCATTAATGAGAAATTGAACAGGCATTCCTAATAATCCTTTAGGTGAGTGTATGTCATACAGATAAAGTACAGTCTTATCCGTTTTCTTATCCGGGGGGCTTAAAGGACGACTTAGAGAATACACATATGTAGAGGGGCTGCATATGGAGAAACACTGGGGTGTCCAGCCCGCAGGGTGGAATGTTTCAACCCCAGGAGAGGCAAGGTGGCTTGCAAAGGGAAAGACACATGCTCGGAGAGGCGTACAGTGGAAATACACATGTGGGGGTCACCAGTGGGGAACCAAGCACCTGGAGGCACCTAGCCAACGATAAAGCTGCCACAGGCATAGACTCTGGCGTTGACGTCAACAGGTGCTGCCGGGGCCGGGCGGGAGGGGACGGAAGTCGCAGGAGGGCATGTTTGGCGGAAAGCGGACTGAGGCGTCTGAGCCGGCGGCTGGGTGGCAGCAGCTGGAAGTGGGGTCAGAACATGTTTGGTTGCCTCAGTCTATTTCTGGGCATCCGAGAACTGTTGGGCAGAGTCCTCGAGCGCGCCGCCGAAGAGGCCAGCCTGGGATATGGGGGAGTTGAGAAAGCGGGTTTGCTCAGCCTCGCGCATATCAACCAGGTTAAGCCAGAGATGTCTGACCACGCATGTGGACATCACCTGACCCAGGGAGCGTGCGGTCACCTTCGTCGCTCGTAGAGCGAGGTCGGTGGCGGCAGGCAGCTCTTGGATGAGCCCTGAATCAGCCCTACCCTCATGCATGTCATTGAGCACCCAAAAGGATGACAATAACATGCAGTGAGGCAGCAGCCTGCCCCTCAGCTCTATAGGTCTTTGCCACCGGAGTAGATAAAAAACCTACAGGCATTGGAGGGGTGCTTAGGTTCGGCCAAGCCAGGTGGGGACTCTTGCTCTATTGAGCTCATCGAGTCTCGACCGTTACATTGCGATGGTCATGTTCCCACTGGGAGAACGTGACGCATCCACGAACGCTGTCTGAGCATGATCGAAGCCCAAACACGTCAAAACAGCTCTCGTGCCCATCAGCTGAATCTATCAGACTACCCCACTCAGAAATATACGGGCAGATCGTCTTTAGAAAGACGTGTGCACGCTCTTTTTGTGAGAGAAAAGCTTGCAGCAGTGCTGAAGCGCCCAGGGAGAAACACACACGCTGTTCAGTTCAGCAGGCAGGAATGTGAAACTCCCTGGAACACGCCAGCACCAACACCGACTGGAAGCTGCTCGTCTTGAAGATTCTCGAAGATAGTCAGAGAATAGGCTGTAGGAGTGAAGAGGACTTATTGGCTCCGAAGCAAAAACATATCTGCATATTGCCAGCGTACTTCCTTATATACCCACGAGGTGGGGAGGAGTCACGCTATGCAAAATCCGCAGATGGCTTTTCTTTGCCATTGGCTTGTTTTGTAATACTCAAAGTTGATAGGCTTTCTAAGCGAAACCCCATTTCGTCGTCATTCGACGTAACTCGAAGTGACTACGAAAGGGAACTAAAGATTATGAGCAAGTTACAGGCTTTTGCAGGTAATCCATTGTGTGGTGCTGTTTGTACGCATTGTTTTGAGAAATGCACTTACTGGTTTCTTAAGGATGATTCAAGAAATGTACCAAAGCGACTGAGAAAAACTGAAATATGACATGGTTCAGTTTATTTTAAAAGGCATGATTTTAAACAAATATTTGTGTGTTACCTGCTTAGCGACATGCTAGCATCACATGTAGTTAAGATAGGATAGGATGCTCTTCATGATGACAGGTGGCCATGTACAATTGTTTTTAATTATTCAACAATTATTCTTGTATTGTGCAAGCATGCATTAAATTGCTCGAAAGTGACATTACAGTCAAACAATTGTTACAAAAATAATCAAATAAATTCTGTTATTTTTAACTTTCTATTTAATCAAAGAAACTTGAAAAAATGTATCAAGTATTCCACAAAAATACAACATTGATAACAAAAATAAATGTTTCTTGAGCATCAAATCAGCAGAATGATTTGTGAAAGACCATGTGACACTGAAGACTGGAATAATGGCTGCTGGAAATTCAGCTCTGCCATCACAGGAATAAAAAGAGACTTCTTTCAAAAAACCTTTATACATCTAGTGGTGTATGTCTTGGAAACATAGCCAAAGTAATAATTTTGTACTGGCATTATACTGTATAGTATGTGTGTGTGTGTGTGTGTGTGTGTGTGTGTGTGTGTGTGTGTGTGTGTGTGTGTGTGTGTGTGTGTGTGTGTGTGTGTGTGTGTGTGTGTGTGTGTGTGTGTGTGTGTGTGTGTGTGTGTGTGTGTGTGAGAGAGAGACTGTTTTACCCCTCCTTCATGCCAATGACTTGCTTTTCTCAGGAAGTTTCTGAGGTTGGAGTGTTTAGAGGGTGGGTTGTGGCAAGAGGGCAGCTGTTCACCTGTCACATGCCCTTCTCTTCCACCGATGTTTGAGGGCATGTACACCTGCACCAACAATTTGGACTTTGATAGCATCTGCACCCTACAGTGTCCCGATCCAACAGAAAGGGTATTGTAGCACAACTCTATATGTATTTCTAAACTCTACAGTCATGAAACACTCATATTTTTTGTCCCCGTAGTCCAGCATTCGATGCATCAAAGATGGCAGATGGACTGAGAACTTCACTATGTGTAAGAAGATAGAAGGATCATGCCAGACTCCTGTTGATAATAACCTGGTGGAATACATCTGTGAGGAGGGCTTTGACGTGGGTAAGGATCTGGCAAGAACATTTGCTCACTTGCCAATTTGGTTATCAGATCAAAGTTACCTTTTTAAACTATGGAAATGACTAGTTAGCAGATTTATAAGAAAACGATTATTTTTTCTAAGAAATCAGATTTCTAAATAATCTCAGTTATTTGTTGAACATATATTACAATATGCATCTTCTTCTGCATTGTATTTTGAAATATATTGGTTTTATTTGGTTATATTTTTAGGCCACTGCATTTATCATTTCTAATATGCAGTCTAGACATACCCGAGCCGCTAGACCACAGACAGTTGCATGCAGTAGGATACATTTGAGTGCCAACCTGCCAAGCTGTTCAACTATGGATGACTAGTCTGGAGCTTGGCTATTCATGTGCTCACATGAATAAATTCAACAGATGCAAATGATGGTTAAAGCAAAGCTCGCTTTGTGTCATGACAGGTGCAGTCTGTTACCCAACATGCATTGTGGCCTTGAGTGACCCTGTGGTGTTAGGCAATAGATCCAGTGCTGATACAGTAGACCATTGGATGCTTCCCATGAAGGTTCAGGTGAGGTGATCAGGCCAGTTTGCCACAAATTGTTATTTGATATGATTGGCTGTTCTTGTGCTTTAACCAAACTCCAAGTTCAAGACTTAATGCAATCTTTATAAAGTCCAAACCATATCATATATAGATAGATAGATAGATAGATAGATAGATAGATAGATAGATAGATAGATAGATAGATAGATAGATAGATAGATAGATAGATAGATAGATAGATAGATAGATAGATAGATAGATAGATAGATAGATAGATAGTCAAGGCTGACCTTCAAAAATGTCCCTTGCTGTGCTTTTCTAAGATTAACATGAAATGTGTTTTTTCCCCTGTTTCACACATCATGACATGAGATGTGTTTGACATGCATCAAATGTAAGATGGGGACATTATTTGGCTCTAAGAGGAGCTACAAGACTGAATACTTTGGACACAAAATTGTAATTGTGTTATTGGCACATCAGAGTGATAAGTTGGATTAGGTTACCTTGTTTCTCGCTCCAAAACTAGGTTCAACTCACCTTACCGTTGAAATCTCTCTGCGAAAGTGTTGATTCTGTCTCTCACTGTCATATCAGCTTGTGTGAGTAATGATTACAGTGTGATGTTTTTATAAGAGACGCTTAAAATGCCACACGTCAAGCATGACGCCTCTGTAGGTGTCAGACTCTCATTGTTTATAAAGATACATCAGCACCCCTAAGAACAGCCTGCTTTCCAGGAATGTTGTCCAAAGTATTGCAGATTGGGTAAGAATGATGGAGGAAAGGTCACAGTAGGAGGGAGATGAATAAGAGATAAGCAAGTTTCTTTCCAGAAATTATGCTGTAGAAACAGGTCAGCTTTCCAATTCTGAGAAAATGTCAAATCAGTGAAATATGTGTTCAAATTGAAAGGACAGGAGGGAAAAAGTAACTCTGTCATAGTTATTAGATAGTAATTTGCAATATTATTTTTAGGCACCATGGCTGATTTTTGTCTTTTAAAATTAAGTTAGCTATTATTAGATTTCTGGAAAAGTCAAAATAAAATAGAAATAAATAGAAACTCTCTTTTCAAATGTCCTCTTTAAAAAAATACATGTTACATTTTTGGTTTAATGCAGCTCAATTACAATGCAGTAAGTTAACTGTCCTTCCCCTTTCCTCTCTTACTCCTCTATTTCTCTTCCTTTAAAAGAGCATTGTCTGTACTGGCATGTTGAAGTGGCATCCGAATCCAGCACAGATCCACTGTATTCAGTCCTGTGAGGTGAGTGACAATTATATGACGTGAAGTCTTTCTGTCAGAGGTGCACAAGTACAGTTTTACTCAAAAGAGTCTGTGAGCATGTAAAACATGTAAATTATTCTAGATGATTTCTATATTCTAAATGCTTCTGTCACCCTCATATCATAGGCTTTTATCAGTAGAACACAAACGGAGAGTTTTAACCGCTGTGCACGCTCTTTTCCATATAGCAACAGTTCATAGTGACCAAGAGCTTCAAAAAAGTTAAAAACAAAGAATACAAGCACCATCAAAGTAGTCTATATGACTTTAGCACTATGTTTCAAGTCTTCTGTATTCATGCAATTGTCGTCTAGACAATACAAGTATAGAAGTTAAAATAGTTTTGAAATTAACAGTGGAATGTTTTGGAAAAACTTTCTTTTTGTTATTCTCTCTGGATTTTAGCTCTACCAGTGGTCAAGCAATTTATTTTAAAGTGAAAGGGTGAAGAGGTGTTTAGTAAAGTATACCATTTAAATGAATTAAGTGTGTGACTTGTATTATATATCAAAGTATATTATCAAATATATTTATTTCCAAGTTGTTGTTTTTTAGGGGTCAGTATGACTTTTTTTTTTTACAACAAAATGGAAGAACGTGTTAAAGGGGCATTATGCAGAAATCCCGTTTTTGTCAAACAGCGACCCCTAGAGTTACTGTGGAGTACTTGAATTTAACGTTACTGTCGTAAATACCACTCACTCAGAGCGTGACATGCCTGTTACATAGTATACAATAGTACATTGTGTTTAATTTGTCGTTTAATGAGATATAATATATGTTGTTAGTGGTGAGAATTTTCACGTGATTAAATACATAGATCCGACAATTTTAATGGTCCAGAGGCAGAACTTTTGCCAAGTGTGTTAGAGGTTCTGGGTTCTAATCGGTACTAGCTAGTAGTATAGTTTATTTTCCTCATCAAAACCGATTGTTTATTAGTGGTTGTATTTCAAGCAGGGACATGTTTTTTGTGCATTAGGTTTTGTGATTTCACCATAACAAAATATAGAGAGTCTCTCAGTCCCCGCAACGGATTCAGGCGCGCGTCACAACAGAACACTTATCTGCACCACTGATCGCAGAGGCAACGAGCACTTTGGTCACTTGATTTCAAAAATAACACATTTCAGATCGCCTCTTATTTAACAAACGAACGAAATGAATGCTCTACTAGAGTTACCTGGAGATGTTTTATTTGTTTGTAATGGTAACGTTACATCCGTGCCGCGAGAAGTTTCAATGGGGACATAGCACACCCGCAAATTATGCCTATGCTCGTGTCCGACTCCTCGCTCGGTCAGTCTGCCGTTTCCTCTTTCTCTGTTCCTCCGACAATGCTTTCCTAGCTTTCTGCATCTTATATGCCGGCTCAGCCATGACGATAGTGTGACAAACTCCATCCATCTATACCTTGTTCCTGTGTGTATGTGTGCAGTTGCCGTAAAGGAATATGTTACATCGCGAGAGCTGATATCACGCGATACTTCCTGACGCGGCCCGCCGCACCGAAGTTGCAAGTGAGATTTTTTCGCTCACAGGCACCAGGGGGGGTCGAGACGCCCACCATTCAACCCGAAAGAAGTTATATAACCATTTCAATAACTCTGAAGCTGTTCAGTTAAGCTAAAAAAGCTGCATAGTGTCCCTTTAAATTGATCAAAAGTGACAGTAAAGATATAATGTTACAAACGATTTTTACATACATTTTAAAGACTTTTTCTAATGAAATTGTTGTACAATTTTTTTAATTGACTAGCGCAAACCTTAGTAAATCACCTTGCATGATTTAAATACTCTCCTCCCACTAATGTTGTGACTGAAAGGAAAACTCCTACAAATCCATATGCAATAAGGTCAGCCACAAAAGTAAGTGTGTCTACGCCTTTTCAGCGCAAATTTTTCACTGTGTGTCTTTAGTAAATCCTGACAGTAGATTTTTAACGGCAAAAGAGGGTTTGTGCTGGCGCAAGCTGTTATTAAATCTTGTCCTAAATGTGTCCTGTGGTATCTGGCACCAAGACATTAGGTGCAGATCCTTCAAGGATATATACAATATATATAATATACAAATTATTGCTATATAATAACTATTATTGTAATATTATATTAGTAAGATGTGTTGCTATAGGTTTTACATCAATGATACTTGGTTAAAAACAGATAAATGAGAAGAACCAGAGACATCCAATACCATATTTGATCTGCAAGCTACAACAAAAGGGGAAGATTTTTAGTGAAAAACATCGGTAACACTTTACTTGAAGGGGTGTGCATAAGACTAACATGACACCTTCATAATCATGACATGACACATGTTATGAATATGAAGGAGGTTTTATGCATGTTTGTGACAACTGTCATTATGTGTCATTCGCTCAATTATGACATTTTTAATGCAAATATGACATTGTTTGAGATGTCTTTGTTATGACACCTTGACATAAACCAATACATCATAACCTGTCAGTGTCTTTGTCATGACAACTTGACATTACTAAGACAACACAACCTGTCATAAACATGACCTAGCAGATTAATTATCAAACTTAAGAAACCACTTAGCTTTATGGGTTAACATTACATTAAACTGTCAGGTGGTTGGTTTTGTCATTGGCTGTCATGAAGCCATTATAACTGTTTAATGACAAATTCAATTTGTACCACTGTAGTTGAGGTCACGAAAAATATTCATGACACAGTTATAATGGCCTCATGACAGCCAATGTCAAAACCAACCACATGACAGTTTAACTTTATTTAATGTCAAGTTGTCATGACAAAGACACTGACAGGTTATGATGTTATGGTTTATGTCAAGATGTCATAACAAAGACATCTTAAAAAATGTCATATTTGCATTCAAAATGTCATTATTGAGCGAAAGACACTTAATGACAGTTGTCATAAACATGCATAAACCGTACTTCATATTCATGACAAATGTCATGTCATGGTTATGAAGGTGTCATGTCAGTCTTATGCACAACCCCTTCAAGTAAAGTGTTACCAAAACGTCTTACATTTTGTTCTGCACACAAAACCATGCAGAATCTTTTGTGTGGCAAAGAACATTTAAATACCACTGATTAAAAATCACAGCATATGGGTTTGAAACAATATCAGGGTGAAAAACAATGATAAAAAGAATTGTGCTATAATACTGATACTTGTAGTGTGCCAGCAGTATGTTGGTGTTTAATGGAAGATGTAGAAAGAAACAGCAGAGTTCACATCTGTTCCCTGTCAGATCTAGAGAGGAAAGAGCACTCTGACAGATAACCACCAGCAGAGCATTGAGGTGGTCCAGGAGGAGCAGGGAGCACCATAATCAGTGATGAATGATGACGGTGTTGATTATTTTAGTTTTAGTTTCCAATTATTATGTCATGGAGGTCCAATGCACGGGGGAAACTTGTTTTGCTCTTCACTATCTCTGTAGTCATAACCATATGTACGTCTATTAACAGGGTCGTTTGACCAAAAATGGAACTTGCAAATCAATTCCTGTGATCCATTGAAACAATTTTTTAAAGCATGTATAAATAAAGCATAATAGATCAAGCTAGTACTATGTAATATGTCTCATGAGTGATTTTGGCTGAAGCCATTTACGCCCACAGGAATTCAGAGCTAGAGAGCAATACCTGAGGTCGCTTGTGATGAACCTAGTCCAAAGGGTCAAGAAATAGAATCATTTTGTTTTCTATTTTTATTTTGTCTGTGTATTTCTTGGTTTACACATTCCCAAGTTTACATTTACATCAGCAATGAGGCATTTTGCTGTCAGGGATTTCCGACACCAACCGCTCTTATATGGAGACATCTTGAACATTTCCCGTGGCCAAGAGAAACATTTAGCGCAATGATTGATGTTCTGCGTGCCACATCATCCCACAGCATGCTGACAGATTGATTCTTACCAGTACTCCTTTTATCGCAAAAATAAAACCAAATGAAAATCGCATTGCCACTGTAAAATGTGGTATATACATGATCATAAAACATATTATTCTGGTTCCTGTTTCTCCAGAGTTCTTCCCGCAATTCACAGAATCCTGTTTAAATTCACCCCAAGCACTAACTCATCAGACTTTGTCGACAATCTTTGTGCCAAAGAAAATTAATGATCTTATCGGTGTGTGTACAGGTCGGTTGGACAGAGGGAATTAAAAGGATGTTATGGAACTGATGGATGCATTAAACCAGTTGTAAAATAATCACAAATGATATGTGACGAAAGTAACATACCAGGCTTTGCTAAAAGTCAACAGAAGTAACGCAGCAGAGTCATGTGAAGCCTGGAATTGAAAAGAGTGTTGAAATTAACAGTCGTGCGTTGTGAAAAATAATGGATGATTGTTTACTGTAATTCTCTCTGGATTTTTAGCCCCATGTCTTGAATGTGAAAGGGGGGAGCGGTGTTTAGAACAGTATGCCATTCAAATGTTAGTGACTTGGATAAATCGTTTCAAATTAATTTAAATATTATATACACATATATATACAGTATATATATATATATATATATATATATATATATATATATATATATATATATATATATATATATATATATATATATATATATATATATATATATATATATATAAATGAGCAATATCACTCGACTCGCGTAGCAGTGCGAAATGGCTGTATATCAGCACGGCTGTAATTCGGCAGTAGATAATCAGAACGTGCTGATATACAGCCATATCGCAGTGTGATATTGCGTTTAAACAACAGTTTGACGACACAAGTGAGTTGAGCCCAAGCCTTGAAGGAACGTTGAGTTGCTTCATTGAAGCTTATTGTATTGTGTAGAGTATTATGGTATTATGAGAGAGATCGATATAGCATACATGCTGGCGGCCTGGAGCTCGGATCTGTGAAAGCGCCTGAACGGATTGTAAAATAGGCACAATGATTATATATGAGTAACATTTTCAAGGTCTAAATAACTATATTCTCGCCTAAAA